TATAATGCAGGTCTATGGTCACCACCTTAAAGAGCATGCACAGAGAAGTCCAAATTAAACATGATTTAATGACTCGTAAATGTAAGTACACATTGATGGCCTAAGACACGAAACGAGCGGTTTGTGTGAGAAAACGAACAGTATTTATATCGTTTTTACCTCTTGTAACCACAGCCACAAAGCACCCGCGCCCTCAGATCACTTGGACGTGGCTGGGGTTACAAAAGGTAAAAACAATATAAATACTGTTTCGTTTTCTCACACAAACCGCTCGTTTGGTGTCTTAGGCCATCAATGTGTACTTACATTTACGAGTCATTAAATCATGTTTAATTTGGACTTCTCTGTGCATGCTCTGAGGTGGTGACCATAGACCTCCATTATATGACTGACAGACAAGTATGGTTTGACCTAAAAATATAAAAATTGAAAATACTGTGTAAATAAAGACACCTACATCTTGGATGCCCTTGAGGTAAGCTAAAACATACCAAAAATTAATTTCAAAGTGAACTATCCCTTTAAGGCCTGTGGTTGCTTGATGGTTTGACGTTTTTTGAAACCATGCAAAATTGTACAGTTGTACTGTAAAATACAATTATCATCATATATTATTTTTCTTAAATACTCAATTTTATTTTACAGTGAAATATACCAATATATATATTTTATTTTGTTTAATAGTTATTAAGATTTTTGGAGTAAATATTACAATTATTATTATTATTCTTTGTAATTTTCATATCACAAAATCCTCTACCAAATTGTGCATACCTACAGACAAAAAATAAATAAAAAATCGCATTTTAAATCACAGTCGGTAAAATTTATTAGAAAAATACCATCTAGGTTTTTCGCCAACTCGCACGGTCTCAAGTCAACGTCATTAGCTGAAATTTCATTGGCCATTTGAATGTAACTGCAAATAATCTTGGCAAAGAGTTTGAGTTTTCTGTCTTTTGAAGTATTTAATACTTATTGCCAGGCTGTTGGCAAGATGGCGGCAGATGAAAATCTGAGTTGAGTGTTTTTTGTGTCTTCAGGTTGTGCTACCACGGTCCTGGTGACCAGTGCAGGGATGGGAGAGATGGTTCTCCAGGTGATCGTGGGGTCGGTAGGTCTGACTTGCATTGTATTGGGAATTGAACCCATGTCCTTGCTGTTGTGAGTGTCGTTATGAGCTCCAAGTTGCACTGCTTTTGTAATTTTAGTGATTCGAGTCCCTCTCCTCCCTCAGGTGATGCACAATAAAGGCAGTTTCAGTTTCCTGTTGTGCGGAATGATCTTCGGCTGCCTGGGATTCACATTCTTCGTTTTGCTGTTCTTCGTCCAGCAAAGTCACAAAAACGTCACAGAAGGTGCTCATGTCTACTCTCGTCTCATGCGCCGACTCTCTGAATGCACTCATGTCGATGTCGCTCATAACCCAATCTGGGGACTTTCTCTAATGCATTTAGTGCAGGGGTGTCAAACTCATTTTAGTTTGGGAAAAATATAACCATGTGCGTACCGAACTAGCTTTTTTAAAAACCTAGTGCACTGACAATTAGCATACATTATTATTAACCATACAAACTACAAATTAATAAAACTAGAAAAACACACTTCTCTGTGATAACTGTCATTTTGAAGTGAAAAGACTTTTATTAGGGATGCCCCGATTATGATTTTTCATGGCTGATTCTGATTTTCTACAAGCAAATTCGCCAATTCCGATACCAGTTGCCGATTTCTTTTTTACAAATTTATTTGTGTATTTGCTCTATAATATCTGTAGCCGTTTGAAACGAGTTAACTATTGGATCATCTATAGCATTTCCGTGAGCGTGGAGAGCAAAGGTTAATATCTCACTGGGTTTTAATGTGGGGAAATTTTGTGAGAGCCCTATATCCAAAATGGCTGCCATCAGCCAAGCTGGAAATTAACTTTTTAATGGTTTTGCCCATAGATATGTATATAAAGGCTAGATGTGTTACGGCGGAGTTTCCATCGTCATCACCGGCGGCCATCTTGTCACAGTCACAGACAGGCTTTCTGGCGGGCTCTGTGGTATCTGATGTAAGAAATACTCGTTGAAATCTTGACGGATTTACAAACGGTTTGGTTTTTTACAAACGTTATTAACGTGGCTATAATTCTGGTTATGATTATTTATTTATACACTTATTATTCATAAGTATGCACTATCATAACTACATCTCTGCCGTTTATAACAAACCAGACCGTTTGAAAATCGGTAGAAAATTGAGCAAGTTACGATGATTTAAAAAGTACATGCACCATTAAAACAATGTTACCAATGAGCGAGCTGCCTGTGACAAGATGGCCGCCAGGTGCTGACGTCGACCTCCATTGGCCAGCAGCGCGGACGACACGTCTAGCCTTTATATACATATCTATGGTTTTGTCCACAGTGCTGCATAATACATGGTTTCGGAGACTATTTAGGTCAAGAAATGCATAAATGATGTAGATTTATTGATTTGACCTTCAAATTCAAGATGGCCATCAATGATTTTTGTGAAGGGCACCCGGGCTAACTTTTTTCGCTCTCCACGATCACGGAAATGCTATAAATGACCCAACTATAACCACTGTATTTCATCAAGATCCAAAAATGGATGTCACACACATGTAGGCTACAGGCCTATCATGTGAAGTGTAGGCTGTCAACAACATGTGAAATGGTGACGCGTAAGTTTGACACCCCCAATGTATTTAGCGGATACTTTTAATCAAAGCAACTTGTGTCTTCAATGGGAGTCGAAACGATGACCTTGGCGTTGCCCTGCCAATTGAATAAAATAGTCTTGTCCTGTTAGATAAAACCAATACTGTTCGGGCTAAGGAATGGCAATTTCGGTCATGGAGCGCCACTAATCGAACTAACCAAACACACCTGACCCAGAGTGAACTAGAAAACTAGACCGGTGAGATTTTATCAGGGTTTGCTGGATCGAAGTTGCCCATCCCTGGTTTGGCTTATCAAATAACACTTCTCGCCATTCATTTGTGAGATGCAGAGGTCACTTTCTAACGTTTTTTTTTTTTTCCACACAGCTTTCCCCAATAACTCCTGTACGGAAAGACTTGAGCAAAATGGGATCAAGGAAAGACTTGAGCAAAATGGGATCAAGACCTGTTCTGCCACGGTGCCGAACTCACGGGACATGTCAAAGCGGGAAGCATCCATCGATCCTTAACAACGGAGAAGCCGGAGACTGGTTGACTCAGGGACATTCCCATCGCTAATGGGACAGGATCAACCATGAAGATCATTTTCACAGCTAAAAAACCAACAAGGAAGTGTTAAGAGATCTTGAACTAAAGGTTTATAATTGTAGTATTTAAATATTTTTGATGAATGGATGTACAAATGTCATAATCTAATTATGCTATTTGGCTGCTAAATCTTATGTGCAATACAAAAACTTTTCTAACAAGAAGTCAGTGGTTTAGTGTTTATTAATGTCAAAAACATAGTGACCAATCAGCAATTGAATATAGCAGGAGATGGGTTCTTATTGGATCAAAGTAACAATAGAAAAATATTTTGATTGTGTAAAGGCCCTACACTGTTTTCTTTTAAAGCAATTCCTTGAATCTGAATAATTTGACTGGATTGCATTAATTTAGTTCTTCGTTACCTCCTTGAAATCCTTCTGACGCTCCGTCTAATGCACAGATCAGTTGATCAGTTGTTCTCTGCCAAAGCCGATGTGCTCATAACACGTTTGTGGTGAAGAGATACAGGTCAGAAAAGGACATCCTACTGTCTTCCTGGAAAAGTTTCCTTGTATTGTGTTGTGTGGCTTCAGGTCGGGCGGTCCCTCTAAAGCCCGTGACCTCAGCGTTCAGGTGGGCGAACCTGATTGCGAGAGGTTGACGTGTCAGCGGATTTCTCTTGGCCTGGGTAAAGTTGTATTTGTTTTTTCTGGTTTACGCAGGTGTCAAACATGCTAACGTTAACACAATTGCTGCATGAACGAGGTCAGCTTTCTGCAGCTGTATTTGATGAAGACACTGGCCAAAAAAAGTTCTACATGTGTTTTTTATAGAAATCTTCCTTCCCTTCCAACATGCACAGATTAGTACAACAGGTACGCCAATGAACATACATTTGTAAACATTTCAGCTGGTAGAGAGAGATGATCTGAAAATACATTTGCACAAAAATATTCAAAACATTTGGTCAATATTGTCGCATTAAAGTTACATTTCACACTTTTGATTATAACATCATCCTTTTTTCCACATGAGAAACAAAATATTGTTCAAAATACTGTGCAGTCGTGACATTTAGAGGATGAGAAAATCTGATTGTGTTAAGTTTCGCATTGGCACTTTCCATGAATGGGGTATAAAATAAGCATAAAGGTTTGTCATACATTATTAAATGTTGTTTAATTTTCTATTGTGTATAGCACTTTCCTTTTATTGCGTTATCAGAATTTGGATAAGGTCTGAATATGGTTTTAAAACCTGATGTGTAACTTTCGTAGTGAAATTAAATACGAATTACACACTTAATTTTTCACACACAAGAGGATAGTTTCTTTGGCCCATATGTTGGTTTGTAGTAATTGAAAAACATGTCATGAATCAAGGAAAAAAAAAAAGATAAGAATATAGTTAAAGGTCAATTTTAACATTAAGCTCATTTTTTTTCTCGACAATCGACTATTGTGGATTGACCGAAAACAAAGTTAATACAGGTATGTGAGCTGGCTAAATCAACATCATTTTTATTAATATCTTTCACATCTACTGCAGTCATATTGACCGTGGTCACTCTTAATAACACCACTTGTAATGACAAATCAAGGATGTTAAGAGGCTAAAAGCAGGTTTAGAACAAGATTATGTAAATACCTATTCGTTCTACTGAAGAGTTTAAATAATGTCTCTTCCTGGGTGTGTCAATTTTTTTTAAATGTTCCATTTTGCAATGGTTAAATCATGTGCTAATAGGCTCTTAAAGGGACAGTTCACCTAAAAATAAAAACAATGTCATTAATTACTCATGTCGTTCCAAACCCGTAAGACTTTTGTTCATCTTCAGAACACAAATGAAGATCTTTTGATGAAATCTGAGAGCTTTCTGTCCCTCCATTGACAGCTACTCAACTACCAGTTTGACGTTTCAAAAAGTTCACAAAGAGATCGTAAAACTAATCCATATGAATTGAGCGGTTTAGACCAAACTTTCTAAAAAGGCTTGATCGCTTTATATGATGAACAGATTTAATTTAGGCTTTTATGAAAAATCTCTTAATTTGTGTTTCAAAGATGAACAAAAGTCTTACAGGTTTGGAACAACATGAGGGAAAGTATTATTTTCATTTCTGGGTGAACTATCCCTTTAAACACAGTAGAAGAGTTAAACGTTACATAATAACACTAAATAATTAATTGAATATCAATTACTTCTCATGACATGTTAAGACAATATTTTATTTAACACAATAGTTCTATCTAAAACATCATCATTAGCCTTAATTGCTTAATAACAAAATTATACCCTACTCATGAAAAGTGCATTTTCTCTAAGTGTAGTAAAATACATGGCTTTTAGATTTTTTGGAGTAAGAGAAAATATACGGTTAGTAATCGATTTTTTACAAAATTCATCATGTGCAGAAAATAGCTTGAATGCATAGTTTCCAAATGTTGATCCAAACCAAAATTTGAGTGTTTGGGGTGGTGGAGTCACTAATAAGATGAGATTAGTTTTACAACAAATTCTAAAAAACACAAAGTGCCAGTAAGAGGAAAAATGTTTAAGTGCTTAAGACTCGCATTAAAGTACAACAGATGTTCAGTATGGCTACAATAGTTAAATGTGCTCAGGGGAAAAACTAAACTCAAGCAAATAGAGAAGGGAAAAAACATAAGACATCATTGTTTAAAAGCTAAACACGTATAACAAACCCATTTTATCCTACAGAGAGAAATGTGAATTTTCAAAGAAACAAAACAAATGACTATTTAACGAAGTACAATATGCAGTCAAACTAAGCTGCTTTTCCCTCAAAAAACTACGTGGGTAAGAGAGCATTTAACTAAAATAATGGAAACAGGTTAAAAAAAAAGTCATTGCACACTGCACAAAATCCATTATTCAAAATGTAAAAGGCATTAAGCAACTCACGATCCCCTCGATGAGAAGGCAATTGCATGTGCAGTGCTCACGATACAGGCAAGAGCAATCAAACTCGGTCTGAATGCCTCAGGAATACAAATGAAGACGCTACATGTCAAAAGTGAAAATACTACAAAACAACAGCACAATGCTACCGACACCCCATCACGTGTTACTCTATGTACAATTAAAGGAGTAGTTCACTTTTAAAAAAAACTTTTGCTGATAATTTACTCACCCCCATGTCATCCAAGATGTCCATGTCTTTCTTTCTTCAGTCGAAAAGAAATTAAGGTTTTTGATGAAAACATTCCAGAATTTTTCTCCATATAATGGACTTCAATGGGGTCCAAATGGTTCAAGGTCCAAATGACAGTTTTAGTGCAAACTGTTCAAAGGGCTTTAGGTTAAGGTCTTATCAAGCGAAACGATCGGTCATTTAAAAAAAAAAAATAACAAAGTTTAAGTTTTATAAGCTCAAATGGTCGCCTTGCTCTGTTCTGTGATGCACGTTTGTGACTCTCCTGTTCGAACTCGTTCATCAAAATTAACAAATCTTTTTCAGAGTCAATTCGTTCAATTCGTTCATTTCGTTCGTTGAATGGATCAAATGACTCAAAAAAAGATTCGTTCATTTTTGATGAACGAGTTTGGACCTTGAACCGTTTGGTTCCCATTGAAGTCCATTATATGGAGAAAAATCCTGGAATGTTTTCATCAAAAACCTTAATTTCTTTTCGACTGAAGAAAGAAAGACATGGACATCTTGGATGACATGAGGATGAGTAAATTATCAGGAAAAGGTTTTTTAAAAGTGAACTACTCTTTTAACTAATTTAAGAATAGTTAAAAACCCGCCTAAAAACAAACAAATATGAATTTCTTTCTTCCGTGGAACACAAAAAGAGAAGTTTCACAGAATGTCCAAGCTGCTTTTTCCATACTATAAAATGGATTGATAGTTTCAAGGTCCCAAAACTACCACAATGTATTGTGTCATTTGAAAAAATAGTTTCAAATTTCTGTCTCTTCATCACAGAAAAAAAATAATAAGCACAAATCATACGTTTACATTTTACATATGAATTAACTGATGTTTGTGTACGGAAAAGACATTCTGCCAAACATCTCATTTTTATAATGCAGGTTTGAAACAACAGTTTAAAAAAAAATGAAAAAATTAAATGTAAATACAATGGCAGCTAATAAATGAAATAAAACAAAATGTTCCTATTCTTGATTTATGCATACAGACTAAAAATATTAACTGATAGTACGAAAGTACGAGTAAACAATATTTCATATGATCTGTTTTCAACTGGATCTGAATGCAGTTCTAGCTTTTATAATCTATGCTGATGATACATATTACATGAAAAGAATGTTCTGGGTTAAATACAACTTAAGACTTGTGTTAAAGGGATAGTTTATCCAAAACTTAAATGTATTACCAGCAACTGTTTGGTTACAAACAATCTACAAAATATCTTAATATAATAATAAAGAAACTCAAACATTTTAGAACAACTTAAGGGTGAGTAAATTATAATAAATGTAATTTTTGGATAAACTATCCCTTTAACAAAAAAAACTTAACAGAAATAAAATACAATTAAAGTCCTTTGAGCATCAAATGCTGTCAATAGTTGTATTGAAACCAGAACGATCCTTCAAATAGCTATAATTTTAGTTTGTAGCTCTTTTCAGCAGTAAATGACAAAAAAAGCCATTCAGATTAGAAACAATTAATAAAACTGTTGCCTATTTTCGTTTTACTGGCAACGAATAAGACTAGAAGGCACCATGTTAGCATGGGTGTGAAAGCCGTTTCTTCAACGTGTTGGGTACGGATAAGGACTGTGGGTAATCATACAATACCTGAGAGCTGAATCTGAGATGCTAAACAGTTCCTATACATACACACACTTTCCTTTCTATTTGTATCATTGCACTTTAAGTGGTCCTACAGGGAGGGACTAAAAGAGCTCAGTTTCTGCAAATTGAGTGTTGTTCCAGTTTTGTATTTAACGCATGTCAGTTATAAATCATGGCTTGAGTTTGTTCAGAGGTAGGGTTTTATGTTGTGCAACATATGGCCATTCATTTTCTATATTGGTTTATAAGTGGAGACGCAAGACTGCCAAACACTCCACACTGACACACACACACACACTGACATCAAATAAGGACTGCAAAGAAGGGCTTGTAGAATCAGACATTTACCATCTTTGCCGGTGTCGTGCAAGATTCAGGTTTCTCACAGAATACGATGACCCTTAAATGATTCAAGAACCTGTTTTAAAGGGATAGTTCACTTTGAAATTAATTTTTAGTGTGTTTTAGCTTACCTCAACGGCATCCAAGATTTGGGCGTCTTTGTTTCCGCAGTAGTTTCAATTTTGATATTTTTAAGTCAAACCGTTTTTGTCTGTCAGTAATATAATGGAGGTCTATGGTCACCACCTCAAAGAGCATGCACAGAGAAGTCCAAATTAAACATGATTTAATGACTCGTAAATGCAAGTACACATTGATGGCCTAAGACACGAAACGAGCGGTTTGTGTGAGAAAACGAACGGTATTTATATCGTTTTTACCTCTTGTAACCACAGCCACAAAGCGTCCACGCTCAAATCAGTTGGACGTGGCTGTGGTTGCAAGAGGCAAAAAAGATATAGAAACCGCTCGTTTCGTGTCTTAGGCCATCAATGTGTATTTACATGTACGAGTCATTAAATCATGTATAATTTGGACTTCTCTGTGCATGCTCTTTGAGGTGGTGACCATAGACCTCCATTATATGACTGATAGACAAACGGTTTGACCTAAAAATAAAAATGTAAACTACTTTGGAAACAATGACCCCTACATCTTGGATGCCCTTGAGGTAAGCTAAAACATTACTTTAAGTTGTGTTAAATATGAAAATAAATAATTATGAAAGCCGGAAGCCCCCAAAAAATTCACTAAACATTTACTATAGAGCAATGTTATATATGAAATGTAAGCCTTGCCTTCTAAAAACACTTACTTTTGAATGAGCATCAATGGAAAAAGATACATGGTATATTCTACCAGCAGGGATTAACTGGACTGGTAAACCAGCCAAACCAGCTACAAAAGGACAGCCACTTCTGGCTGGGCATTACAAACAGCTTGGGCTTGTTGTCCAGGGTAGATTGTATTCTGCAGGGGGATTGAATCTTGCACACCGGGAAAGCTGACAAATGCAGGAATGGTTTTGAGCATTTGGCCTGAGATCTACAGACACCCGTCCAGTTACGGTGCACATCCAACCGATCTCCAGCAATCCAACCATCCTAATGGTGGGACGAGGCTTTAAGCACTGAGCCGGTGCCGTTCCATTCCATTTTACGCTGTGTACGCTCCATTAGCTTAATGGTGAATCGCCAGTCTACTGGAGTAAAGCAAGTCCTTGGATTTTCCCACTCAACTGAAATCATTCCTAATGGCTTTCAGCCTTTCAGAAAGGGAAAATGGTTTCTATGAAAAGATTTGTATGATAAGCATTGCCGCAGTGGCATATCTGGCGTGTTACGGTGATGGCATTTGGAAGCACGCTTCATTACGCAGTCGCCATCATTCAAGCATTGCAACAAGGGTGACGACAATTTGGCCTCTCAAAAATGTGCATCATGGTCAAAGCACCAATTAGATTTAATGTTTTAAGATGTTCAAATGTTGAGGGTTTCTTCAAGAATATGGCATCCTGACTGCCTCAATCTTCATAAAGAGTTCACCCAAAAATGTTGTTTCCAAATCTGTGTGACTTTCTTTTTTCTGAGGAACACAGCTTTTGTGTTGTCTCTTGTTTCATGGACAAAAAGAGCTGAGATATTCTCAAAAAACATTGCGTTCCACAGAAGAAAGACGGATTTACAGGTTTGGAACAACATGAATTTCATTTTTGGTGAACCATCCCAAAGAAATGTGACTTCTGCTGGTTCTGATCTACAATGCACAATAAAATGTCACTATTTGCACCAGCTAGTCGGTTAGTTGTACAAGGTGGCGGACTGGACTGTGGATGCAGACACACACAACAGAAGGAAAATGTGTGACATTAGTTGTATAATAAGCTGTAACAGCCAATTATATTTGGAATTATGCAGAAATGAACCTGGAGCGAAAAGCGTTCACAAACAGTGCTGGTGCTGCGGACATCTGAGATCCTTTATAATGTTCACTTACAAACCAAAATGTGTATTACCTTGAAACGAATCAAGCAGAAGGAAATTCCATTTCACTGACTTTTTCGTTTCTCAGTTGTGTCGCGAGTCATTTCCGTGAGGTAATTGTTTACCCGCCGACATTTTCACTACTTTTGTGGATGGCTAGTAAACATGAGTAGGTGCAAAAGCCCTAGTAAGTGCAGCTTGTTTTGATCTAAGTGCCATTCGTGTGGTTATTATGACGAAACACTTTAAATACATGGCAGTAAGTGCAGCATGAGGAAAGATACAAGATAATACAGAGGTCACCATTATCAAAATCACAAGGCGAAGGGGCGGTTTGGCTTGGCAAGGCAGGTTTGTTTGAGGACTTCCCAAACAAAAAGGCAAACATGAGCTGTGATGAAGTGAACTTGCTGGATTATGTACAAACGATCCCTCTTTATCCAGATCTGGCAGTACAAACAAATGATGTTAGAATCTCTTCATCACAAGGAAATTCAGAATCCCGATTAGACAAGTAAAGCACACACATGATGCCCATTTTGGCAGCTGTGGAGATCAAGAGTCGCACTAGAGCCAATCCCTGAAGACCAGTGCTTTAAAAAACAGGAATTAAAGATTTACAGTGTCCTGCAGACACTATATGATGGCTTGATATACATCCCAAGGAAAAGTATTTGTGACATCACACAGGTTCAAGAGTCAAATGGACATCTTTTACATCTTTGTTACCTGAAGAGGACCGGTTCAGATGAACAGAATGAGGTCGATCAGCATTTATCAATCAAGGACACGAGGCAAAGATTCGTCCCCCTCTTATGTCTTCTGTGGGTCGGGTGAGAGAGGCCCGGGAGTGTTGGTGCCGTCTAAACTATACAAGGGAACAGAGAACTGCGTGGAACTCAGGGCAGAAGGAAACTGGAAAAAAGAAGAGAAACAGAATGGAAAAAAAAAAAAATTAATTAACACATCTTTTCAGGAATATTGTAACATTATTGGGAACATCTCAAAGTCTCTGGTGTTTTCACCAGTGTTATTATCATTAACTAATACTAAAATTGTTCAAATTAATTGAAATAAGACTGAAATTAAATAAAATATGAATGTGAGATGGACTGGAAATTAGAAATGTTGCCTCCGCAACTAGCTAAAATAAAATTAAGTTTAAGTGCTACAAAAATAGAAATATATCAAAGAAAAAATGACAACAGTAAAATTACTCAAACTTAAGCTAAAATTAATACAAAAGCTAAATATAAAATAAAAGCTACATTTGAAATATTAATAAATACTATAATTGTATATGAATAATATTAAAATAGCGCCAGTTTTCACACTGGATGCTTTGATTAGGTTAATAAGAAAGCTGTTGTAAACCAAATCATAAATTAATTTCCAATAATTAATAAGCAATATATTAAAATATTGTAATAAACTAATTGTAAAAATAATCCAAGTATTTTGGGGCAATCAAAGTAAATAGTTCACAACTAAAAACTATTCTGATTATACAAGTTGTTGAACTTTTTTTCCAGGACCATGGGAATCCTACACACTTCAGTCTTTCTAAACCGACAAAAAACCTCAAAGCATAAAGACTTTGCTCCCATTGGAATCAACAAAGCTGTTTTCAAGCATAATATCATGTTGCATATTATTTTCATCTCGCTACAAAGATATTCCAACCACTTCATTTTCCCTGTTTGTCTGAAATAAAAGAAATGTACAAATATTATGCCTGACTGTGAACTGACTTCTGTGAATTTTACTCATTATATATTAAAGTAACGTCTTAGTGTTTACATCAAAGATAGCATGTGGCTTTGAATGTTAAGATATGTTCTCAAAACTTGTTTATTTGTGAGTAAGCTATGAGACTGACTTCACTATTCAGCTCTCAAATCAGTTGAAATGCAGGCTGTTTTTTTGGGCAAAAAGGACCAGCTGTGGCACTCACATATGACGTGATTTGAATCCAAATGTGAAATGTGACAAACTTTAAAGGGTTAGTTCACCCAAAAATAATTTACTCATCCTCAAACCGTCCTAGGTGTATATGATTTTCTTCTTTCAGCCAAACACAATCTGAGTTATTTTTAAAATAAATATATATATATATATATATATATATATATATATATATATATATATATATATATATATACTGGCTCTTCCCAGCTTTATAATGGGAGTGAATGGTACCTTAGATTTTGAAGCCCAAAAGTAAGTAGTAGACTGGCTATTTATTGTTAGATTTTTAGAGGTAAAAAAAAATGTTTGAGGTAAAAACGATATAAATACTGTTCGTTTTCTCACACAAACCGCTCGTTTCATGTCTTAGGCCATCAATGTGTACTTACATTTACGAGTCATTAAATCATGTTTAATTTGGACTTCTCTGTGCATGCTCTTTAAGGTGGTGACCATAGACCTCCATTATATAACTGACAGACAAGAACGGTTTGACCTAAAAATATCAAAATTGAAACTACTGCAGAAACAAAGACACCTACATCTTGGGATGCCCTTGAGGTAAGCTAAAACATATCAAAAATGAATTTCAAAGTGAACTATCCCTTTAAGTGACTCACCTGGAAGAGGGTATGCGGGCCCTGTCTCCGGGCGGGACTGAGGGGTGCCACCGGGCTTAGCGTGCTCCAGAAATGGATATTCGACAGAAGTGGACTAGGGGTGAGTAGCAGGGGTGTCTGCAACAAACAAACAAAAATTAACTTTTAGAGAAACAACTCTCTTTCCATTAAGCGTGCATTTCCCAAATACTCGTGAGCATCATAGCACAAAGCATTTGCAAGAGCCATAACCCTGAAATATAAATGTTTAATTAAAAGTGGCTTAATGAGACTTTAAGAAGCAATAAGAATTAATCACAGGGCAAGGGTGCTGTATTTCCTGAAAAAAAAACATAAATAATAGATTTGAATTATAGTATATTTCATCTTTCATCTCACTGAAGATACAGCAGGGGGTGATCCTCTGGGGCTGGATGTATGAGTGCTCGTAAATGCAAAAATGTGCAGTCTTAACGAGGTGATCCATCAAAGTAGCATCCAGCTAAACCTCACCATATGATCACGATCATATAACAGCCAATGAGTGTCTGCGAAGCACATCAGAACCACAATGGTCCACTATTGCCCTCTAGTGCCTCAAAATGATATGAATGCAACCACATAAGGATTTCAATGTAACCTCACCATATTCCTATGCAAGATAACCACACATTTTTAGAAAAATATGCTTGTAATAGGCCATTTTCTTTTAAACCACACTCAGAGACAGATCAGTTTTATCATCGGTGGTCATTTATAGTAATTGTGCATAAGCCTGGTAGCATTTGCGAGCATTTTTAACAGGTCGTTCACAAGCTTTTTGGCATTCAAATTGCAAATATGGCAATAATTTGTGAATAAATTGCATAAAAATCCATTCAAATATTTGTATGTCTATTTTTTGGAACATAAAAATCCAAAATGAAAATATGTACATAGCAAGCAAAGCAGAATTTTTTTTTTTTATGCGCATTATAAGTTTCGTGTTCAAAATAATTGGTGTTTTTAGACAGATTGATGTTCCGACCACAAGATCTACATGTTTTGCACTAATTTATTCCAAATTGTCAGTACAACATGACATGGAGACTTTTAAAATTATTTAAATAAGATGCCACTTGCATGACAAACACGTCAGCAGCGTCACTGAACGCGGATCCACAACTGAACCGGAAGACAATACAATGCTGAATAAAGTCTCAGTTTTTGTTATTTTTGGACCAAAATGTATTTTCGATGCTTCAAAACATTGTAACTAACCCACTGATGTCACATGGACTACTTTGATGATGTCTTTATTAGAGCCCGACCGATAAAGGATTTTGAAGGCCGATACCGATACAAATATTTTTGGGTTTTAAAATCCGATATTCCGATATATCAGCCGATATTTTATTTATTTATTTATTTATTTTTTAAACTGGACATGATAGTCACAAATTTTGTCATGCTTATTTGAGTTCAGAGAACTGATGGGGATGTTCTTTTAATGGTTATTCAAGCAATGTATGTATCGTGACCAACTCAACGAGTGTTGCCAACAACAGGGACGGTGTAGAGTGCCCTCTGGTGGACAAACTATACAACTCCAACACTCATGACATGGTTCAAGCGTGTTTTGTCCGTTTTTATTTTAGAAATATTAATTTATCGGCCATTATAACTGCAGATACCAATAGTTTGTAAAATGCCTAATATCGGCCGATAATATCGGTCTGCCGATATATCGGTCTGGCTCTAGTCTTTATTACCTTTCTGGACAAGGACAGGACACTATATCGTACATACATTTTCAATGGAAGGACAGAAAACTCTTGGACTAAATCTAAAATATCTTAAACTGTGTCCCGAAGATGAACGGAGGTCTTACGGGCTTGGAACGACATGAGGGTGAGTCATTAATGACATCATTTTCATTTTTAGGTGAACTAACCCTTTAAAAACAGCATAATTGGAGCACTTTTAGACTAAATGACACAAAGAAAGCAAATTACTGTTGATCAAACAGCTGTTATCTATCTAATTGGGCAATTCTTGGCCAGAACAAGATGCAAAGTGGTGCAAAAGTCTGGCTACAATGAGCAAAGTCAAATAAATAACTACTGCACAAGAGGATGCGCCTCTAGTGATTCGGATGGAAATTGCGACCCAACACGAAAACTGCTGATGGTCTAATGATACTAACAAACCAATGACAGCAGAAAATAGCATACTCGTGTGATGGAGGTCAGGAGGGGACTGACCTGCAGGAAGGCTGGGGTGAGAGAGGCCGTGGGGAGGGACGGGCTGGACAGATTGAGAGGACTAAGGTCAGAGCTGGTCACCACCAGCGTGGGCATCAACTCCAGGCCTTTGGGTTTCTTTGACTTTCCGCTGAGATTGCGGGGTGAAGAGTCAGGCATCTCAGAAGCTGTTACTGTGTCCTTGGAAATAGAGTAGGGCTGGACCTGATGGACCGAAAGAGAAAGAGATGTCTTAATAATGAATTTGAATACAACAATGGTGATATTATTACACTTATATAATTATTGATATATTTACATTTATATTATATTCATCTTCATTTAGCAAATTATTAATAATCGTAATTTTTTTATATTTTTTTTTCATGACATATTCAAATTGTTATTCAAAGTGAATAAAGGCCTGAAGTGCTGAATTTATCTCATTGACATTATTAAAAAAAGGATACCTGAATGAATTGTTATAAATAAATATAAATAAAAACACAACTTATTTATTTAACAAAAAACAAAAAAAAACATTATATATGTATATCTGGATTAATTGTTCTGCAACCAAATAAAATAAAACACATTTATTATAGTTTTTAAACAAATAAATTAAATATCCATGGAAATGCACATAAACCTATTACCATAAAGGCACACCAACATCATTCCAATTGTAATTTCCATCATGATCTCTTTATTTTGCCAATGTGTTTCGGTGCACAGGCCTTCATCAGAGCTAAAAGATTACCAGAGGTGTACAAAAGCTCATTTAGGCCAATGAAGGTCTGTGCATCAAAACACGTTGGCAAAACAAAGAGTAATATCTTTACATATAACAAAGAGTACATAGTACATACATAATAACAAAGACAAAGAGTATATCCTTGTTGATCTTGTGAAGTTGCGACAGAACAACTACACAATATTTTTGCATGTTGTACCTGCAACTGCAACTCTGAAGGCTGTGAGGAGAGGGACTCAATTTCACTGTCAATCACCAGCTCCTGGGAATCCGTCATCGGAGAAGAAGAGGGTGACTGGGAATGAGGGAGCGGTGACGGAGAGATTCTTGAGAGCGGGAAGCCCGTCATGGCATTCTCTGAAGTGTGATTCTCCACAAACGCACACACAACATGCGAGACTGTGCTCTGTTTGGTCTCATTTTCTGCTTTCAGTGGAACTTGGACGGCTTGTGCCAGAAGTTCAGGCCTCCCTATAGCAGACAGAGTGCTGTTTTTGTTTGGCATGGTCCCAAATTTAATGACTGTGGACGGCTGGGGCGACTCCTGGCCTGCCTTTTTGTCCATAAGCTTTTCTCCTGGGTTTTCAATTTTCATGGATTTAAAAAGTTGTGTTCCTGACTGCAAAGAAGTCAAAGTGAAGGATGTGTACAAGCCGGAGTTGATATAGTCATTCCGGTTGGATGCTTTGGACTGACCCGGTGTGCCTGCACCTCGGTCTGGGGCGTCTTTTCTGTCTTTATCCCTGGAGACGTTTACAAGTTTGTCCGAGAGAGGCAGAGGTCCGGTAGAGCCCCCGTCTGCACCCTCCATTCTGGCCATCCCATCCCCCTTTAGGATATCAGGGTACGACACAAAACGATACACAAACTTCTGCCCGTTTACTTTTTTGATGATGTTCTGCAAGGAAAGATTCGAGAAAATGCATGTTTATTCTAGCAGAACAATGACTTTCTCCAACATACATCTAAAAATTTCTACGTAAAAAACAATCACCCAAACAAATCAACCAAAACTTCCCTCGTATGTTCATTTTTACCAGTCAGTTGCATTCTTCTACCCACTCTAACAAAATAACATGCAATTAAGTAAACAAACCCGTGTTCAAAGAACAGGAAGAATGCGGAAAACGATACCTCTTGCCCTGTGGTGCCAAAATGAGGCTTAAAAAGCTAAAGCGACAAACCCTCAAACAGTTCTCGCTCAAGAATAAACCTCACAGGGCTCTGTGACCCTCTTCTTTGGTGACTTGATTGTGTGCTTACTGTTTGCAGTACAAACTGCAAACTGTTCAAAGGGCTTTAACGATTCCAGACGATGAATAAAGGTCTTATCTAGCGAAACGATCGCTCATTAAAAAAATAAAAAATAAAGTTTAAGTTTTATAAGCTCAAATGCTCGCCTTGCTCTGTTCTATGATGCGCGTTCGTGACTCTCCTGTTCGAACTCGTTCATTAAAATGAACAAATCTTTTTCCGAGTCAATTCGTTCATTTTGTTCGTTGAATGAACCAAATGACTTGGAAAAAGATTCGTTCATTTTGATGAACGAGTTCGAACAGGAGAGTCACAAACGTGCGTCACAGAACAGAGCAAGGCGAGCATTTGAGCTTATAAAACTTTGTTATTCATTTATTTAATAAATGATCGTTTCACTAGATAAGACCCTTATTCCTTATCTGGAATCGTTTACAGCCCTTTGAACAGTTTGTAGTTTGCACTGAAAGTATCTTTTGGACCTTGAACCGTTTGGTTCCCACTGAAGTCCATTATATGGAGAAAAATCCTGGCATGTTTTCATCAAAAACCTTAATTTCTTTTCGACTGAAGAAAGAAAAACATGGACATCTTGGATGACATGGGGGTGAGTAAATTATCAGCAAAACTTTCAAAAGTGAACTAGTCCTTTAATACATCCTGTAATGGATTTATTTTAATTTTATTTATTTATTATTTTTTAATTATTATTTATTAAAATAATAATCCATTTATTTTAATTATGTTCTGCAGGGGAAACAGTCATATAAAAATCACAAATATTGACCAATAACCATTACAGTCCCAATATAGCACTAAGCCTATTGTGCATCCATATGCTGAATAATATTGAATATTATGAATACTAACTAGTCAGTCTGTGCCTCACACAAAGCTAAGCTACGGCTTCAAAACACTTGGAATTTAGAGCACAGGCCCTATTGACTACCTTATTTTTCCAGCTCAACAGACCTCAATCACACTTGGACAAACCGCAAAACATGTCCTTTTATGTTGCATTGTTATTCGGTTCAGAACAATGCGAGGGCGAGTAATTGATGACTGTATGACATTACGCACCTTGTCATAGTAGTAACGCAGAGCCCGGCTGAGCTTGTCGTAGTTCATGCTGGGTTTGTTCTTGCGGGCGCCCCATAATCTGGCCACCTCCTCGGCCTGCAATAGTTTGAACTCTCCATCTTCGTTGGTCCAGCAGATGAGATGGTCATTGCTGGGGTCCAACAGGAGCTGCAGCAGGAACTGCCACAGGGTCACTGAGCTGTCCATGTCCTTCTCGATCCACAGCTGTGAGGGAAACGTTACCTTACGGGACCCTGTTCGAGCTCACAGCCTGGATGACACGTAACGGCATATTCCGGCAGAGGCTGAAATATAAATGATCGAGATGCAATTAGATCACAAATTGAATTTTAAAGTAATAGCAAGAGGGAGAGCTTTATGTTAAGGAAGCGTTTCTCTTCAACCAAACCTAGAGCGACCTTTCTTGAAATCATAAAATCATGGTAAATATGCACACCATTTTAAATACCAAATGGTACTGGACTTCAGCGTAATCCTGGCTGTGTGGACTGTGCAGACCGACTGTGTACGTATATAAGCAGCTTAAAATAAAACTAAATCTGCCTTGACTCATCCGATATCCAGCTGGTAGTTCCAGTAGAGAGCGAAAAATGTCTCCCACATACAATCTGACAGAACAGACAAACATAGAAACAAAGAGGCGAGACGTGACAGCATTCCACCGACTGTAGGAGACGGGATCTGGGAATTTTACACTACACAAAGAGTTTAGGCTGAGATGGCATCACCAATTACATGTAGCTCAAAAGTAAAAGGCCTGTTTCATGATGATAGGGATTGCATACTGTAAACATTAACATACCACTTATGCATCTTTAATTTAATGGCTAAAATGAGATGCTCATTTTGTTGCTGCATAAATGACCCCGGATTTCACCATAATTACACTTCAAAATGGTATAATGGTGCACATCAATAGCCAATACACCTATATGTGTGTAGTGTAAATTTACACTTATATTTGGCAATTTCAAATATCCATAATAATGACCATAAACTTTAATTTAAAACTAAGCTAGCTTTAATTCTTTTGAGAATAACAGGACCATCAATGGCAAAACAATGGAAATATATGCTAAATGTGCATTTAACCCTAAACAATTATTTTAAACTCACATAAAACTCTATGTTCATTAGTGTAAAGCTTTGTAAATTAGAAATTCCACAAATTTGGATAGGAGCGTATGCAAAACCTGCACGTCAACACGGTGCGTCACTTATCATTCGTTTTAGTATTGAAATTCCTCTACAATACTTATAAAGTTAGCTAAAGTTATTGAAAACAAACGCGAATGTAACGTTAACTCACTAAACTGCAACCTGTTAGAACTTGAGTTAGCATCGAGCTAATGACTGTCAAACTCACCTGAGATGCTTTGTGTTCAACGGAGTCGGTCCTGAGGGTCTCGGTCTTTTCGACAGTTTAAAACCAGAAAAGAAATAAAATAAATAAAAATGCCGAATGTTTTTTTGTATGTTTACATCGTGTAAAGATATTTGGTGGTCAGCTAGCGTAGCGTGCTAGTCCGCTAGCTAACGCAGTCGTAGCTAACTTTAGACTCATTAAACTAACTAGTTTATGTAAATTTTACTATTTAAAGCGGTTTTGACGCATTTACAATGAGAACGACAACAAAAAAGATGCGGATAAAGATAAACTAAAGTCTCTCCATCTCACGTAGGCTACTGATATTTTTAGCTGCAACCACAATAAAACAAAACAGGAAGCAACAAGCCCACCAGATTAGACACTCTAAGCGCACAATAAAATTCCAGAACAAAGACTGAGATTTTATGAATCTGTAAGAAATGACGTGCATTTAGTTTGAATAGCGATAATATCCTCCAGATGTCAAATCAGCATCAAGAGAAATGCAGTGAAGCCAGTCAAAGCATGTAGATTATCTTATGAAGGACTCTAATTCATCTAAATGACTATAGTTATTTAACGTATCAATAAATATAGTGTACTAGTTGATAAAAAAAGAAACTACAAATATCAATTCGGATGGTGTTGAAATATTATGCAACATCCGTTTGAATGTACTTTGACATTTAGATAAGAAATAACTGGATAGATAATAGAATGATGACAGGGTGTGAAATGACAGAGATAGAACGATAGATAGACCAATTAGATAGAATGATAGACAGACATACAGACCAACAGAGACAGACAGACAGATAGAACAATAGACAGACCAATTAGATAGAATGACAGACATACAGACCATCAGATACAGACAGACAGACAGATAGAACTGTAGACAGACCAATCAGATGAGACAGACCAACAGAGATAGATAGCCTAGATATAGATAGATAGATAGATAGATAGATAGATAGATAGATAGATAGATAGATAGATAGATAGATAGATAGATAGATAGATAGATAGATAGATAGATAGATAGCTGTTTCGATGAAATGTCATCTCAAATAACATTTCCCTTATACTTAAAAGTTTTATGTCTACATAATAACAACCCATTATACCTTGTTTAAAAACACAACAGGACTATATAAATGTGTACAAAAGTGCAAAAAGCTGCACCTGCAGAATAAACCTATAGACACCAGAAAAAAGTGTGAAGTACTTTGTTGTAAGAGTATTATTTGTGGATGCCAATAATACTATTACAAATAGATTGTACACAATAACACCACCACTACTACATTTACCTCCTGTTACCACACCCTCCAGGCATCACCCACACTTTCACATTCATACTCATTTGCCATGTGTGTATAGGAAAAGAGTGGCAGAATAAGTGTGTAATTTTAGTCTTCTGTGTCAGTTCCAGCCACCACGCCTTCCAAACAGAGTCCAACGCTGGAAAATAAATGCAGGCAAAAGCACAAGCCAAGCATTCCTGCCGTACAAGATCAGTGACTAATGCTTTTACTAGAAGGTTTTTGTGGACGATTCTTCACAGTTCTTCCCCAGAAATGTGTGCTAACATTAACAATAAGCATTTGTCTGAAAATAAAAGTGCTCTGCATTATAAAGCAAACCATGTGATCTATAAAAAGCACAATGACTTATAATTTAAGGGAGGGGAAAAAACTAAACACAATGTTCATACAACTCCAAAACAAGATTATTTCTTAAAGGAATGGTCCAGGTTTATCTGTGATATTAACTCTTCCTTCAGTTTGTGAACAAAAATGTTTGCAGTGATGCACTTATAATGGGGGAAACATTCCAGAGGGTTTTGAAGCAGAAATGTAAAGCTATGCATTGCTATCATAATAAGTGAGTTTTTCACTATTCTGTACAGAAACTCATCTGTGGTATCTGTGCACCTTAAAATAAGGCTGAATTAAAATAAAATGTAAATATTGAAAAATCTACAAAAATTAAGAAATGTTGCCCTGGCAGCTAACTGAAATATAAGTTAAAGTACTAAAAAAAAAGACTCAAATTAATACTGAAATAAAAATAAATTAAAGCTGAACATTAGAAAGAAGAATAAACAAATTTACTAAAACATAAAAGAAAATATTAACGAATAGCCTACTATAATAGTATATAAATAATACTAAAATAACACTCTCGCTTGTAATGATTATGTGATGGTAAACCAGGTGTTGAAATACTGGATAACATCTGCACAAACTGCATTGATTATATCACTACTATTATATATATATATATATATATATTTTAAGAATTGTGGCTATACTTTTAAAACTATGTATTTTAGCAGTGTGTAATTTGCATTGCAACCAGGTCCAATGCATCGCCCCATAGACTTCCATTGTAAGTTTATTAATTGCAATAAATCAATTTTTGATTTATTTTACAAAGTCCAAACCAGCGTGACTTAAACTTGTACTTAACCCAGAACTTTCCTTTAAATAGCCGAGATGTACAGTATCCATACCTTAAAGGTGACATATCACAGCTTTTCCAAAAGGTTGTGTTTTCTTTTTGTTTTTTACTTTATTTTCTTACATAGGAAAATAGCATTTTCTGTTATTCAAAAATATAACCTAAATTTGACCAGCTATAAGGTATAAGAGCAGCTATAGTTGGATGGTCTGTGTAAATGAGAACAGTCAAGGTCCGTCCACACCAAGAACTATAAAAATAACTATATTTGCGTCCAGCCCAGCGGACGACATCGTTGTGTTTATTATAAGCGCTCGGTTTTATCTTTGCTCAATCTTTTTAAAGCAGGATTCTGATTGGCTGTCAATGTTTCTGTAAGTGCTTCCAACGATATCGTAGTTGTGCTATACTTTAATATTTAGAAGGATTTTTAGATCTGTATATTTATAATTACCGCTATAGTTATCGTCCTTGGTGTGAACGAGCCTTTAACACATTAACATGATGTTATAGGTATAGGAAATAATTTAACACTTTTATTGGGATGAAGGTGGTGGCAGAAAAATCAAGGGTGAGCCCTTGCAAGGGAATATTAAGTTAGAATTCCCATAAAAACAGACATCTCCCTTCGAAAAAAAGAGAAGAGAACAAGAAAAAAAAGACTATCTTAAAACAGGAAGTACGTGATAGTACTAATCGAAACACTGAAAATCAGGTTGCTCTTTGAGCGATATTAAAAAGTATGTACCTACGTGATCGTTCAGGAACTGCTACAAACGTTAGAGTATTGATAAGTCCAGATACTAAGTATTAGAGCCAGACCGATTTATCGGCAGGCCGATATTATCGGCCGATATTATGCATTTTCCAAACTATCGTTATAATGGCCGATAAATTAATATTTCAAAAATAAAATAAAAACGGACGAAACACGCTTCAACCATGTCATGAGTGTTGGAGTTGTATAGTTTGTCCACCAGAGAGCACTCTACACCATCCTTGTTGGCAACACTCGTGCATAACATGCCATTCGCGTTATTTCTGAAATGAAAAAAAAAAATGACAAAAATATCGGCCGATATATCGGATTTTAAAACCAACAAATATTTGTATCGGCATCGGCCTTCAAAATCCTTTATCGGTCGGGCTCTACTAAGTATGTAGGGCATCGTGAAAGCCTACATGAGCTAAGTACTGTAGAAATGCATAAAGTAGTTAAGACCAGATGTACAAAGGCAAGACAATGTCAAGGAAATTCACTCCATGTGGGAGATTAACATGAACCTTCTCAGGAAACACAGTCCCGTGGACGCTAGAGTAGCCGGTTCAATGACGTAACGGTAAAATGATGTCCAGATAGCTTCATTTCGACAGGAAGCAAACAGCTGCCAGTTTTTACGAACAGTAACAACTGTCCTCAGCGATTTACTGTAGCTTATCAACCGTGACGGCACTAAGTAGAAAAAAATGCATTGATCTAATGCAAAGCACATTACGACGACATAAAGGAAACAATTTTCTTTGAGTGATTACAGATCGAAGAGAAAATTGTTTCTAGCTTATATATGTTTTACAGTACATAAGTTCGTTCCATACATGTAGTGATGTTATCCACGGTTTTGGCATACGCTCTCAACAGACTGAGAGAGATGAGGCACGAGAAAAAAAAACGTGGAAAGCAACTTGATGCATAAATACCTTTCAGCTGGCGCAGGGATGTGATTGGGCTGAGAAAATCCCACGATTGGGTTTGCGCAAGGGGGCGGGGACTAAACATTCGATACGCTCGCTAAACGTGTTGTAAATAGTGCTGTCAAATCCATTAATCGCATCTAACATAAAAGTGTGCATGTCTCTGTGTGTATATATACATAAACACAAACTTTTCTTAATTAATTGATTTGACGGCACTAGTTTTAAAACACTGGGACGTGTCACAAATAACGCCGTCGGACCTAATCATAAAAAATGTGTTTAAAAAAGCTGTACTCCATTAGAGTAATTCAATAAGGTGAATCTCACGAAGAAATGTCAAATCAAATAAAATGAAGCTTATTGTAAGATTGTAGTGTTATTTTCTGTTAAGTGCATTTCCACCCGATTTTCCCATTACATTCAAGTGAAAAATCTCATTCGCATTACAATTATCATCATTTCTTGATATTCTTTTTTCATAACAGAAATCTGTATAAATTAATTTCAACAACTACTCTTACAATTGTACTGTACACTACCAAAATGTATATTGCAGTAATAAGAATAAGAGATCTTTTCACAATATGATACTGAGATGTTTTGGGCAATACAATTTTGAAAATGAGATGTATTTGCATGACAAATGACAATTTTGACAAATGACAACTTCTTATTTTCAGGTAATATATTGCGTTTTTTGACATTTTTCTTGAGATTCACCCTGACAAAGGCCATGTTTGATAATGCATAATATTATAGCCTAAATCATAGTGCATATTGTCTTAATTTAAAAGGAAGGGAAATTCTGCAGCATTCTGGCTTCAGTTAATGTGCTATAACCTACCAAAATACTGTACTTCTTTCATATTTTCACCTGGTTAGAGCTATAACACAATATTCACAAAACGAGTTTCCTCAAATTATACTCCGTATTGTCCTTTAGATCTCCTGCAACCTCGGTTTAAAGGCAATAAAAACAGATCTCGTAATCTGTTGCAGCGTGACCTACACCAACAAAGGACAAAACGCGACGAAATCGACTTAAACAGAATAGTTCACTTTGAAATTAATTTTGGTATGTTTTAGCTTACCTCAAGGGCATCCAAGATGTAGGTGTCTTTGTTTCCGCAGTAGTTTCAATTTTGATATTTTTAGGGTTAAACCGTACGTGTCTGTCAGTCATATAATGGAGGTCTATGGTCACCACCTCAAAGAGCATGCACAGAGAAGTCCAAATTAAACATGAAGTCAATCAATGTGTACTTACATTTACGAGTCATTAAATCATGTTTAATTTGGACGTCTCTGTGCATGCTCTTTGAGGTGGTGACCATAGACCTCCATTATATGACTGACAGACCTAAAAATATCAAAATTGAAACTACTGCAGAAACAAAGACACCTACATCTTGGATGCCCTTGAGGTAAGCTAAAACACACCAAAAATGAACATTTCAAAGTGAACTATCCCTTTAACTCACCAAAAAGCCAGAAATATGCTTTGAGCTTAACAATCACATCCCTGAGTTTCAAGTTAGCTTACTATAGCACCAAGAAACACAAACATCTGGATAAACCATAAAAAGTGGGCTAGGAAAAGGAGAGGAAAATGAAGGCGGAGGGTTACAGCTCGTTAGCCCGTTTAGATATCATAGCTTTCCCTCTCAGACTCCAGGAATCACACTCCAGTTTTATCCCGTGCTCAGACATTCGCCCTGACCAGTCTGCCGGCGCGAGGACCCCGGTGCACCTTGGTGTGTTTGGATAGGTGGTCGCTCCTGGCGAACTTTTTGTCGCACATTGTGCACTCGTAAGGCTTGACTCCCGAGTGAGACCGCCGATGGCGGGACAGCTCATCGGAGCGAGAGAACCTTCAAAGCATAGAGCACAGCAGGACATACACGTCAGCTCCATTCATTACAGGTCTGGATGTTAATCAGCTCTTATGTACAAGGTCCCTGCATTAGTCGACCAATGAATCTCTACGGCTTACTCATTAACTTTCTAAAAGATTTGGAAAATTCCTTTTATAGAGATTGCACTCGCAAACAGATATTTCATGTCAATCAAATGTTTTGAATATAGCTTCGAAAATTGCAATAAATAAATGTTTATTATTTGTTAGACATTTCATTTTCGTGTTCTTAAACTACCATTCACTACGGGTTCAAACGTTTGGGGTCACGACGATTTTTCTTTTATTATTAATATTTCTATTAATCAGGAATGCATTAAATTGATCAATAGTGACAGTAAAGATTTGTATTTCAAATAAGCGCTGCTCTTTTAAACTTTCTATTCATCATGGAATCCAGAAAATATTTGATTGGTTTCAACTTTTCACAAAAATATTAAGCAGCACAAATTTTTCAACATTTTTAATAATAATAATTTTTTTAAAAATGAGTAGCAAATCAACATATTAGAATGATTTCTGAAGGATCATGTGACACTCAAGACTAAAGTAATGACTGCTGAACATTAATAAAATATATTCAATATACAACTAGAAAACGGCTATTTTACATTGTAATAATACTTCACAATATTAGTTTCTACTGAATTTTGTATCAATAAATGTAGCATTGGTGAGCATAAGAGACTTCTTTCATAAACAATAGGATACCAACCCCAAAATTTTGGGGCTGTGAAACGATTAATCGCGATTAATCGCATCCAAAATAAAAGTTTGTGTTTACATAATATATGCATGTAGTGTGTATTAAGTACTTTGTATATATAAATACACACACATGCATGTATACATTTAAGAAATATTTGCATGTATATACTTTATATATATTTATACAAAATTTATATTATACATGAATATAAATAACACCTTTTTCTTAAATATATACATGCATATGTGTGTATTTATATATTCAAAATAATTATAAACACTACTCCCACATATTTTATGTAAACACAAACTTTTATTTTGGATGCGATTAATCGCGATTAATCGTTTCACAGCCCTATACCATAACATAAACATTACTGTACATGTATATGTGTGTATTTATATATAAAAAAATAATTATGCACACTACACACACACATATATTATGTAAACACAAACTATTTTGGATGCGATTAATCGCGATTAATCGTTTCACAGCCCGATCAGCCAAAAAGAAAAGTCGTTTCGGGGATGGAGGAGGTTTTTAAGAAAGAATATGCAGACGTATGTTTTTTTGTGTATAAAGGAAACAAGAACGACCAATTTTGACTCAATCATTCAAACGTTGGTTTGAACACTCACCTCCACCCACAGTCTGGCCAGCTGCACAGGTAGGGTTTCTCCCCCGTGTGCCTGCGGAAATGAGCCTTCAGGTGGCTGCTCTTAGTGTACATCTTCTCGCACCCTGGGTGAGAGCATTTATGCACCCTCAAGGTTTCCGTGGAGGACCTGGATGAACGTTGCGTGATGGCTTTGACCAGGCCTGCACCCGCTATTCCGACCGCCCTGACGGCAATGGGCAGAGGAGCGATCTTCACATACTTTTGGTCTTGATTGATGGCCTCGCCCATGATAGGGAGGAAGGTTGCTGAGGGCACCTGTGGTGAAAGAAGGGTAATGTTCTGTGCCCCTTGGACACCGAGCACCAGGTGGGCCACTCTGAGCCCGTTGGCCACGCCCGATTGGTTGTCTGGCTGTTGGAGGGTGTGGCTTAGCTGGAGAGGTTGCAACTGAAGCACGAATGGAGCACCAACGAGCACCGGCGTGGCGTTAACACTCTGAGTGGCAGGGGCCGGCGAGGTCGTGTTGGATTTCGGCTCTGCGTCACTGGGGGAAGACGGCTGGATGGGAGGCTCATCGCCCTTAGACGTTTCTTCCGGACTCGGAGGAGCATCTCTCACCAGCTCCATCTTCTCCATCAAGAATTCCTCAATGTCCTCCAGGGTTGGAGAGAAGGTGCTGGGCAGTTGCTGTATGAAATCAGGCAGCCTGGGCGTCTGGGTCAACAACTCCTCAGTGGAGTCTAAAAAGATCTGTAGCGGGCCTTCATCCTCGTCTTCCTCGCCCGGGCTGTAGCCGAGCCGAGCTCCGGCATCTTCCGCTTCGGGACTGGAGCACGAGATGGAGCTGCCCCTCTCGCTGCTCTCACTGCCGCCCACCTCGAAGAAAGGCAAGGTGGCCAAACCATGGTCCGCGAACAATTCATTAGCAGTGGCCACCGCTTTGTCACTTATGGAGACCATTTGTTGGTGTGCAGATCAGAGGAAAGCTGAAGATATTGCCACGGTTTGTAAACACTGCGTCAAAAAAACCAGAAAGTTAGAAATTAAATAATGAGGATAATGTAGTGGTGCGCTAAAGTATGTGGACACTTATATAAGTAATACACCGGATATAAAAAAATATTAACGACTTCCAACATTGATAATAACTCATTATCAAATCATCATATCAGAATGGTTTTTCAAGCATCATGTGACACTGAAGACTGGAGTAATGATGCTGAAAATTATGCTTTCGATCACAGAAATAAATTATATTTTAAAGTGTATTAAAATAGAAAACCATTATTGTAGATTGTAATAATATATCACAATTTTGCTGTTTTTCTGTCATTTTTGGTCAAATAAATGCAGGCTTGATGAGCAGAAGAGACTTCTTTCAAAAACATTAAAAATAGTCATTTTTCTAAACTTTTGACCGGTACTATGGTCAATTATAGAATTACGCGTTACTATATTTATTTTAAAGAATACCTCTGCATAAATTATTAGCAGTACAGTACTGTTATGATGTATTATTTATATGCATTTTTGTATTACAATAATTATATTACTTTACATTATGGAAGGCTATGATTTATTTAAGATATATAGGGTGAAATATGACACTTGAGAACTTGAAAATAAGAAATTGTTCTTAAATGACTTGCCTGGTTAAATAAAGGTTAATTCTTAATAAATAAATTTTTGACAGGTTTTGTAACAAAATTCACCCATGATTAATGTCTTTGCATTTGTTTACAAAATACCAAAACAAGTAGCATTTATTTTCCAAGATGGATCGGGTGGCACAAGCACACTTTACAAGCAACATATTTTTTTTTAAAAAGTATGTTTTTAATAATAAAACGATATTTTTTTTTTCCAAATGAAAAAATAAATAAATAAATAAATATATTAGGGCTGTCAAACGATTAATCGCATCCAAAATAAGTTTGTGTTTACATAATATATGTGGGTGCACAAACACACACATGCTTGTATATATTAAAGAAATATTTAATGTATATAGAAATATATAAATAATATATAAATATAAATATTTTACATACAAATAATATTTTTTTCTCAAATATACATGCATATGTGTGTGTATTTATATATATACAAAATAATTATACACAGTGCACCCACATATATGTAATATCGCGATTAATCTTTTGACATATCTGGTTGTTAACTTAATTCATACATTCAAATAAGCATCAGCTTATGGCCAGCTAATTACAAAATGTCTCATTTAAGTTAAGTTCTGCATATTGTATCTGATGCAATAAAAATGCATAAGTGTCCAAACACTATTACGGACCAATATTTACATGCACCCGTCCTCATTGTTCCCATACTTTCGGAGATCAAAGCACCGAGGTTTATTGAGTAGAAAGAGGAGGGGCCAGTAAAAACACCATCACAACACAACACAAATCTCCATCACAACATAAGTCACAATGCACACTAATCTCAATAGAAGAAAAACTACAGACAAACTTGCATTAAAACTGCTCAATGCTGAACTGCTACAGCACACACACGAGGCACTAGACATGTGTTTCACTAAAGTGCGTCAGCAGGGCAGGAAAACAGGCCTGCACACATGCTCCCAACACACACCCGAGGAAAACTGCAGCTTCTGGACAACACGGCCACAACATTCCCAGAAACAGGTGTCAACTTCAACAAAGTGGGGTCATTTAGATCGAATCTGACCCTCTGTTAAAAAATACACTTCGATTTGCATTATCGAACGTAAAACGATATATTTATGTCTACTTACCTTGTGTAAATATGGATTGAAATATCCGGATAGTGGATGTATGACATAGGATGAATCCAGATGTCTCTTTCAGTGTTATTGTTGGAAAGAACATCGTCCTTGCCACGGTTCCATGTTGGCATTTCTCGCAGAGTCCTGTCACATGACACGCATCGCAATGCATTCGAGGGCACGGATCCGATTCCTGGCTTCTGATTGGTTGCGTGACGGAGGCTCGCTCCAAAACGAGCTATGTCATTGGTTAGAGTAAAAGAACTCATGAATTATTTATAAGAGTTGGAAAAACAGCCAACGAACGCAAAAGAAAAAAAAAAAAAACTCAATGTATTTCTTCACATTTAAACACATGCATCGCATGCATCATTTTCAAGCAAAACTTTTCACCCGTTCAAACCAGAATTATGTTCCGGGGACATAAAAATAAATATAACCATGCTTTATATATACTTAAAATTCATCCATAATTATAATCAACAAAGATATTTTGTTTTGTTTTGTTTTTTTAATGTAACATTGTGTGTGTATATGTTAATAATGTCTGTGTATGTGTGTGTGTGTGTGTGTGTGTGTGTGTGTGTGTGTGTGTGTGTGTGTGTGTGTGTGTGTGTGTGTGTGTGTGTATATATTTATATCTATGTAAATGGGAGATAAGCTGCTATGTTTTTTTATTATTATTTGTGTGTGTGTGTTATTATATATATAGGCGGCCTATATACTATTTTATTTTATTTTGCTCGAAATAAACTTCATTCAATCAAAGGTAAACGTAAATACTAAATTATATAACTAAAAATAACTGTAAAAATAATTTTCATTTTATTGTTAAAAGTTAAAAAGATTGTGATAAAGATACAGATTAAATATCATGCTGTAAGATTATATAAATTTTTTTTTTTTTTTTAAATACATTTATTTTCAAAGATGGTCAAAAGAAAACACTGCAACCATTAGAATTGTTATTTGATATATGGTTGGCTGCAAAGAACGAAAAGAGAAAAACAGCAATGGGAAAGTAAGATGATGGAGGTTTTAACTAAATGAAAACAGCTGCTAGACACTAGATGGCAGTAGCTTATATTAAAGAACCGACTGATTGCATTCAGAGCATGAGGAATAAACAGATTACTCTTTTGTTGTTTTCTCATTAACATATCTTAGAACCAAAACAAATAATATAAATGTACATAAAAAATAACTCTTTGTTACAAATGAAATGCAATAGATCTATCTATCTGGCAACTATAGTGTTATTAGCTAAAAAAAAAAAATCATTGAGACTTATTTTCTACAAATAATTCAGCACAATAAAAATAATAATAATAATAATAATAATAAAAAGAATAACCATCAAATCTTCAGACTTATTCTTCTCTTAAAATAATAATGAATCATCTCGGCACCAAATCTGTAAACATCACTTCTTCTACAGGGTTGTGTGTCACAAGGTTCAAAGCCTGAATTCTTCTCTTTGAAACATACATTCAGCATATTTTCTTGTGCAAGTGCTCTCCTTAATATAACATTTTTCAATAGTGCAAATATAATATTGTAATCCACAGGTTAAACAACAAAAGTTCTGTCAAATACATTGCGAACTATTAATTACAATAAATAAATTATCATTTATAGCATAATGCTCAAAAAGACCCTTTTAAAATGTAACTTATGACCATACTGTTTACCACTGTCACTTTTTTTTTTTATATATATTATTAAGAAAATGTAAATAATGAGTCAATACAGCATCTTCCCTTCCTCCGAAACAGATTTTTGTCTTTTCCTCAGTTGTGTCGCTTCACTGCCGTTCATAAATCCTCTCCCGTGGCCTCATGGTAAAGTGTCCACTGTCCATCGAATGCGCACTTCAGAATCTCGAAAGAAATAGTAGGTCAACCGGGGACTTTTTAAGTCTGCTTTTCAGACTCGGCGATAATGTACCATTAAAGGAGTAGTTCACTTAAAAAAATAATAATAATAATAATTTACTCACCCCCATGTCATCCAAGATGTCTTTCTTTCTTCATTCGAAAAGAAATTAAACATTACAGGATTTTTCTCCATATATTGCTCTTTACTGGACTTTAAACGATTTCAGATGACGAATAAGGGTCTTATCAAGCGAAACGATCGCTCATGTAATAAATAAATAACAAAGTTTAAGTTTTATAAGCTCAATTGGTCGCCTTGCTCTGTTCTGTGATGCGTGTTCGTGACTCTCCTGTTCGAACTCGTTCATCAAAATGAACGAATCTTTTATCGAGTCATTTGGTTCATTCAACCATAGACATGATATCTATGCATTCAACGAACAAAATGAACGAATTGACTCGGAAAAAGATTCGTTCATTGTAATGAACGAGTTCGAACAGGAGAGTCACACAGAACAGAGCAAGGCGAGCATGTGAGCTTATAAAACTTAAACTTTGCTATTTATTTTTTTTAAATGACCGATCGTTTCCCTTGATAAGACCCTTATTCATCGTCTGAAATCGTTTAAAGCCCAGTAGAGTTCATTATATGGAGAAAAATCCTTGAATGTTTTCATCAAAAACCTTAATTTATTTCCGACTGTAGAAAGAAAATTATCAGCAAAATTTTTATTTTATTTTTAAGTTATCTACTCCTAATAGTATTCAGTTTTCAGCGTCTACACTGCCGGAATTTTACAAGAAGAAGAAGAAGAAGTAGTATTATTTTTTCACTATTTTCACAGTTTTAACAGCAGATCGGCAGAACCAGCTAGCCTATATGGTTTGTGTCACTATCCAGAGTCCTTTGCTCTGAGTAACATCTCAATCATCTACTTGCATCAATATCCACCTTCTCGAAGATGATCTTACTGGAGAAATACACAGCCACAACGCTGAGCAGAGACGCACAGGCCATGTATGCGGTCACACTGAAGAACTGCACGATGGAGCCCATGAAGAGGGACGGCACCACCTGAGACAGCAGGTATGCACTGTCCAACAAGGCGATGTCTGTACCCATACCTCTGAAAGCTGAGGGTTGTGCAGGACGAGGGTCCATGGCGACAGACAAATCAATTGATTGTGAACTTTTGATATTGCACCCATTGGATCTTTTCTGCTGTATCTCAGCCGATCTGATCCCCCTGTCGTTGGAGAAAAACACCTGGAAATTGAGAAATCCATTTGGTTAGGATAAAAACTCTTTGCATTTTTTTAGCATAATGCTTTGTTTGGATCCCTTACCTGTGCATTGGAGTGGTATAGGCATATGAGCGTGTACGGCAGAATCTGCAGGATGCAGAAAGTGTATCCTGTAGCTGCGGCCATGACGGTGACTAGTGTAATGTTGTGGGATACGGTCATGATCGATGTACTCACGGCCAGCAGAACCACACTGCTCAGATACAGCTTCCTAATTCCTATGCACAACACCATACGCTCCATAGCCAAAGAAAAGATCACAGAGGTCACACATTGTAGGAAAAGACCCAGACTGGCCATTCGCACACCTGTGACAAAGAGAACCACACAAAAATACTTATATTATATATACATGTATACACAGTTCAAATGTTTGGGGTCAGTAAGATTTTTTTATATATGTATTTATGAAAGAATTTTCTCTCTCTTTTAGTACCGTAAAATACAGTAATATTGTGAAAAAAGGGGGGTCATGCACGTCAAGAAGGTCCAACACATTGAACGTTTCTGGCAACTACACTGAACAAAATTATAAACGCAACACTTTTGTTTTTGCCCCCATTTTTTTAATGAGCTGAACTCATAAGATCTACCCAGATAGCAAACTGACATTGAATCAACGTGGAAATATGACATCGAAACAACGTTGATCTGACATTGTTTTGCTCATCGAATTAACGTTGAACCAACGTCAGACGTGTCATTCTTTCAAAACTAACGGAAAATCAACTTGAAATCAACGCGTTGTTTCAACGTTATGAAAGCAAACCAATTTTCGATTTTCATTTAGCTTTGAAGAATGCCGCGTCTGACGTTGGTTCAACGTTAATTCGATGAGCAAAATCAACGTTGTTTCAATGTCATGAGAGACGTCGTTTCCACGTTGATTCAATGTCAGTTTGCTATCTGGGTAAGACCTTTTCTATGTACACAAAAGGCCTATTTCTCTCAAATATTGTTCACAAATCTGTCTAAATCTGTGTTAGTGAGCACTTCTCAACTGCCAATACCTTTGTTTTCAATTGAAGAACTGTGTACTACTGGTCACAATTGTGACCATGAACAAATTTACAAGTCTTACGAGCAAAATATATATGCAGGAATATAATTCTCAAGATATATTAGTAGTAGACCCTTTAAAGAATATATGTACAAAATATGATAGTTCTATTTTTTAATTAAGATGTTTTAAAAACTACTTTTCGTAGTAGTCTGAGGAAGAAATCTTCTTCTAGATATGCAAGCAGGAATTCCACTGATCTGGTCATGTGACCTTTCACACTAGTCACATGACATTAATTGATTTTAATCAAGACAATCTATTTTGTCATTTAAAAGTTGAATTCCTTGCCCAAAATCAATAACAACATTTTTAGAGCTTCCAGAAATAAGAAAAAAAGATGCAGTCACAAATGTGACGTTGGGATTAAACGGTATCAAACAATTAAATCTTATTGACCCCAAGCTTATAAATTGCAAGCCTATATATTATTATACATATAAATATTATACGTTTATAGTTAGTAAACTCTATATATATATATATATGTATGTATATATATGTATATATGTGTGTGTGCGTTTTGAAAATAATACCTTCATCATAGTGTATCCTTCCTGAGGAGCCTGGCTCTCCACTGGGCACGCCGTCATATAATCCCTCTCCAACAAAGTCTGCGTAGAAGAGCATAAAGGACATGAGGGCCATCCAGCTGAACAACTCAGCGACAAACAGCCTCGCTATGACTTTTGGCATGCGGCTGCACAGCAAGTAGAGTCGGGGAACCGCAGAAAAGACACTGGAGAACGTCCTTCGTAAAAGCAGAAATCTGGGGAACACCACACATTTGCAGGAGCAAATCTTCAGGATTTCAGACTTTGTGGACACTTCAGCTTCCCCCAGCCTTCCTCGTACGGTCGGCTCCTCAGATATGAAGGTCGTACCCATCAAACAGGTTAGAAAGATGAAGGTCAGCACGACGTAGATGAAGGCCTCTTGTCCACCCATGTAGACCACGGTGTCTAAAGTGGTCCAGTCGACCGCGGGCAGCAGGTAGCCAACGCATCCGCCCAGACTGAGCATGAGGGAGAAGATGGAGAAAGCCTTACAACTCTCCTCCTCTCCAGGGTAGAGGTCAGAAACCAAGGCCTCCAAAGGGGTGAAGCAGGCCTGACCACAGAATTCCATCAAACAAATAGCGAGGACCAGAAGAGGGACCTTCAGCCAATGCTGCTGTTGTTTTGTTAGCAGGGTAACAGGGGTGGACGTCTGAGGGATGATCAAGAGTCCGAGCAGGACGCCCATGCACAATACCCAAATGAAGGGGCGCCGGCGGCCATATTTACTTCTCAAGCTATCGCTCGCTGAACCAATGAGAGGGACGGCGATTAAACCCAGCACAGGTCCCACAGCTGAAATCAAACATAGAATCAAAAAACATCAATGAATAACATAGTATATCAAATGTCAATTCACTTGGGATAGGGTCTGATAAATTTATTAAATGTGTATGGGTGAATTCAGGTTGATTTCCAAGTCATCTCAATGGCAAAAGTGTCCCAAACACCCTGAATTCATCCCTATATATAGCCTATACACATCATTTATAATTGTAAAAGTGATATATAAAAAATTGCAATGAAAGAAACAATGAAAAATTATAGGCTGCAGTCCGTAGTTTTGTCCTCTTTGTCGCCATCTCTGTTCGAAATCTGTAATTGCAGTTATTCACGGGATTATCAAGTTTACGTGCGCGAATGAATCCAATGTTTTTGTGGATACTGGTACACTCTAGCTGTCACTGGTGATCGTCGTTTGAACTTTTCTGGATCCGCCATCAAATTGATAAGTTTAATTATATCAAGTGTAGTGAGAAAAGGCTATATCTCCACCTCCAGAATCCTCACACGCATTATAGCATTTACTAGCCGAGACATTCGAGATGTGACGTAATAATGCAAAGACATGCTTAAAATTTCCTTGGAAATCCATCAGCACCACTGGAGTTAAAAACATTATTACAAGCTTACCTTTTGAATCGAGTTACGGCAAGCAGATTGGTTTGAACATTGGCTGGTTATGTACTTGCTCAAAAATTAACCCAAAAAAGTTACGGACTGCAGCTTTAAATATTGAGTAAAGGCATATGTCTACATTTTTATGCTTATATTTTTTTTCCACATGAGGCTATAAATATGATTGTGCATGTTAAAGTACCCTGTATACAGCTGAGTTTACATTTGAAGTTATAAAATAGGCTTTCCTAGGCATTAAAACATCTGTAACTCCCTGAGGCAGCAGAAATGCATTGATGTGGTATGTGCGGTTCAGTAAGTGAGTCAACCGAAACTATTTTATTTATGTTGGAAGTCAAGCAACGTTGACGAAATGAACAGTTCTCTAAAATAAGCACATGTTCAGTGACCGGTCTCACAGATTCGGTTTCATTTTAAAGGGGTCATGAACTGGCTTTTTATATATTTTTTATGTTGTCTGAGGTTAACTTATGACAGACGTACGCTTGGTTTTTGCATTCAAAAACATCAAAATTAATAAATAATAGGCTATTTTCCTAGCTCAAAAATGCTCGGTTTTTATGTGCGTCTCGCACTGAAGACTTGAGGTAAACACCAACTGCTGTGAATGGATAACAGCTTTGCATATTATAATTAGTTTCAACTCATTCGCTTATGCGCAGTGACTGTCTTCTTCCACAACCAGGCACTGCATAATTGTCTTGCTTGATAGCTTGAACCGGTTTGTCATACCGTATGTTATTTAGATCAGAGCCATGTATTGATTTAGATGCGTGTAATCGGTGGGCGGGGCTAAAACGGCCGTGTTGAAGAAGGCGGAGGTGAAAAGCTTGTATTGGACTAACAAGGACGTTTTCGTTTCCGAAACTTACAGGATATTCTTATAATTGATGAACTCTTAGATGTCAAAAGCTTAAGGAAAATTTGATTTCTCAGCCCTATGCCAATTTTTTCTATGAAATATAATATAAATGCTTAATAGGCTTACTATAGTGAAATACAGTAGGACAAAAACAGATGATTGATGATGCTATGATTTACATAGTTTAAATTTTGTTAATTTTGAACAACAAAAATTGCTTAGTGTAGAGGAGAGCCGGCCAGGACGGATGAAACATTTAGATTTCCTTGAAAACCACTCACGTTGTGTATGTCAAATTTTAAGTTGTATTTATTGTATTATAATACGGCAGGTGTATTAGTACTGCTACACACCCTTAAGTTTGCAATATCAGAGTTTTTAGTTTAGGAACAAACAGGTTTAACTGGAAGGAGGAAGGTTGAAACAGGGACTTCTGCCAGTTAAACCTGGTCATAGGAAAACTCTCAATATGACTCAATCAATATGACTCAAGGATAATAGTCTGTTGGTACCACTATGATACCCACTGCGCATTCAAAAGCCACTTTGACAATGACAAAGACCTCTTTTTGAGTCCCTTACCCAGTACCATGGTCATGAAGCGTTCCTCCACCCCTGCCTCCAGCAGCATCGGTGGGATGTAGATGGTCCCAGCAGCCAAACACACCTCCAGGCCACATGTTAATGCATTAATCAAGAACAACTGTGAGATCCTGCCATGCATGTCCAGATTTTCCACTTCTTCTCTCTCTCTCTTTTCCTCCTTTGCTCTAAACACTGCAGTGATGAAGCTGTTTAGCTGCTGGAATATATATTAATGCATATATACAACATTATGACTGAAGCTACTACGAATTACTCCATTTGCATCTTTACATGCAAACCTGAACTTCATATTAATGTTGACATTGATCTAAATTTCAGTCATGTGTTTGTGAGCTTTGACACCAGGATGTGTGACAGATACACCCCTTTAGTCAACACAGTGTGTTTGTCCGGGACTATAAAATGATGTTGACCTTAGTACTCAACCAATGATCTTTTAACATAAGAAGAGTTGTGAGGACGTTATATACCCATCACAGTACATCTATCCGAGCGGCTTTATGGTTGATTGTAGACATAACACAGTCTTGACTGTTACTACATTTTAAATGGTAACAACAAACAAAAAAATGGCATACGTGGCAATTATTTCCACAATCTAGGCAATTTCTTTGCCGGTGTCAGTTTTGCATTGCTTTTGAGTTGTAGTTGCTTAAGAGGTCGGTTGGTTCGTGGAATATTTTTCTAAGCTTTGGAGAAATTTGAGTTCCCTGTTCACATTGACACAAACTACAAATGTTTGAATGAGGCACGGCTATATTTAGTCCATTTAGCAATCCGTAAATCTCCCGTTTCACTTAATGGGTGAATCTCACAAAAGCTTTCAGGAACAAGGAAATTAAGTGTTTTTAGGACTATTACTTTCGTGAAAACTAAACACATTTGCACAGAAATCTTAATACGTTAATGAAAAAGTTATATATATACCAGCGTGACATCCAACGGGTTTTCCCAGATCGCATCACATATATTCTAGTCATTTGTATTGTTTTTATTTATTTATATTTAAATAATTATTTTTTATATTCATTATTTATTTCTAATGTTATTATTTATTAATATTATATATTATTTTGTGTATAATATATATATATATATATATATATATATATGTCCAGTCAACCTGGACATGCTTTTATGTGATAATGCTCTTGTGTTGGAAAAATGTATATTTGCATATAACAGATTTTTCATGATTGGTATACACAATTGTTACAAAATACTAACATTTATTTATTTATTTATTTATTTAATAAATGCTATTCTTTTTAACTTTCTATTCATCAAAAAATTCAGATTTTTTTAAGTCATGGTTTTCATAAAAATATTAAGCAGCACAATTGTTTACTTATAATCTTACCCCAAACTTTTGAATGCTATAATGTACATTTTTAAAGCTTACTACATTCATAACCTTAAAATATGTGATGTAAACATAAATACAATGAGCTGACTTTAGTTCAAAACCTCTTCTTGTGAATATAATTGCTCATTGACAGCTGCTAACTTCCTCTTTTCACAGTTCGTAGAGAGCTTGTGAAGGAAGAAGACACGTCTTTAAGTGCAACACATGCGCAAACTCATTTGAATTTAACTCTTTATTTAGCTGTCAACCACATAGACCGGCCCCCTGTCTTAAATATGAACTGAGTTTATCATAACTGAGCCATGAAAAGGTTTCAGACAGGAAAAAGCAGTGAAGCAAGTCACATCTTACCTGACACTGCCTCTGACAGGGAACTTCACATCCTGGAATGTTTTTTGTTTCTTAAATTGATATTGTGTATGTATGGGTTTACCTGTTATAGGATAAAATTAACAAGCATTTTTTAAAACAAGTATTTAAATAGTATTATTATTTTGTTTTTTACCAACTGAACAGTTCTGTATAATTAAGTATTACAAATATTATTTTTTACTGGTCTGTGAAGGAATATAACAACTATTAACAAACATTTACACACTTATACACAGTTTTGAATAATGAATTATTATTAAATCCTTTTTTAAAATGATTTTTTGGTTTTACAATCACAGGTGCATCATCAGCTACACATCATGAAATAACCCATTCTAAAAACACAATATATATGTTGACAGAAAACAACAGTTGAAATACATACGTTTGATCTCCATCTGAAGGTGTAAATTCAAGTGTCGTCGTCTCTTGTGTCGTTATTGATTCCCATGTGAACATGTACACAGTGAAGTGTCATCAGTAGAAGTTTGAGGAGTAGTTGCAGGCGCAGCAGGAAGTGGGCGGGATGAGCTGTGAGAACACACACCTCTGGAAAGCCACATCACTGAGCCTGTACGACCTGCTACATTGTTGGTGGTTTTTCGGCATGTCATGAATTAAATCCACTTAAGTACAGCACAGCAGGTGTTCTTTCTATCTATCTACACTGTAAAAACTATTTTCAAGATTTGTTATCACAACATATTTTCTTTTGTCAAATCAACTTAAATAATTTGTTTAGTTCAGATAACATATAATTTTGAGTTTCTGATGAAAATATCATTCTCCTTCATTGTATCAACTCACTTTTTCCAGTTTAATGAACTTAAAATTTTAAGGCAACCAGGTTACTTACTTTTTTAAGTTAAACCATCAATATTTTTTACAGTGTATCTATCTATCTATCTATCTATCTATCTATCTATCAACACTGTAAAAAGTGATCAGTTGACTTAACTTTAAAAAATTGAGTAAACATGTTGCCTTAAAATTAAGTACATGAACTTAATGTAATTGAAAAAAATAAGTTATGGGAACTTCCACGTAACTTATTTTTTTCAGTTACGCATGAAGTTTATGTACATAATAATTTTAAGGCTACAGATTTCTTTAAGTTAAGTCAACTGATCTCTTTTTACAGTGTATCTGTCTGTCTGTGTATCCATCCATCTATCTATCCATCGTTGGTTCGATCTTTTAAAGCAACACCTAGTAACTTTTCCTCTCCTGTCGCCCTTCAGTTTGGAAAGGGAATTGCCCATTACCGCTGTCATAAATAATTTAGCCTACCACATCCTACTGTCACACACACGCTCATTGTTTATCAGCACCGGCTTTGGAATGAACCATGTCTGAAAATGATTCCTGATCTGATGATAATCTCGATTTCTACTGTAAACTACATGAAAGCAGGGATCCATCCTGTCTTGTATCAATGGTTCAGGCTAGTGGTGGTGGTGTATGTCACGGGAGGCTGTATATAATGAAGCGCACCTTCTTCAAGGAATCAGTCTTTAATCCAGAATGGAAAAAGTCAGGGAAACAGCACTTAACATCAACGACACCAAACAAAGAACTGAATTAAGACATGACTTAATACACAGAGGAACAAATGAGCTAATAAACGGGATGATTAATCAAACACAATAATGCCCGGTACACATTTTGGGCAAATGAAAGATGACCAATTGTGATGATTTCTGTGGTCATTGCTCCTAAACAGTGGTCCTACGCTGCACAGTGAGAGAGCTTCAAAGACTGCTGTTGTCACGGTCTTGCGTCTAGAATCGAGGATCCAGCCAGAGCTTGATAGGGCAGCGAGGAACGAAGGCGTCGCTATGACAACAGGGAACTATTTGTGGCGGTACTGTCTGCAATGGAAAACAGGGCAATAAGCGACCTGAGTCGAGGTGAGCCGAGTCGAGCTGGTAATGGAAAAGCACCATTAGCTACACAATAAACTTATGTTTTGCACTGTTTACTCGTGGCATGGTCTCATGTCTTATGGCCCTGAGTCAGTCATAACAAGTGTAATATTTTTTATCAGCCCCTTAGTACCAATTGAGCATTTTAAACACCACAACCTCACCACAGTGTTGTTGCTGACCATGTGACCACATGATCTGGCTACTACTAAGACTACGCAACTTCTGTTTCATGCTGACTTTAACCATTATAAAACGTTGTTACAATATCTACACATGAAAACTACTGTGAAATTGTTTAAACAAGTTTAAAAGACTGGATTTCAGTGAGCAGAAATGCTGAAACAAATTCGCGTTTCTCATTTTCAACTTTCAAGCAGACTATCTTGGCAGTTGGCACTTTTCACACAGTTTGTTTCACACCTCTGGTCTCCCTCCCGCCATTTCTGACGTCACTCTCTAAACTTCCCTTACATTTTCTAGAAACCTTTTCTCGTTTTTTTTTCCCTTCAATATTGAATAATTGGTTAGCAGTGATAAAAAAATGATAATTATTTAACTTTTATTGTAGTAAAAATTGCATTTTAATGCTAACTTTTGCTACAAAATAATTTTCTTTTCTACTGGTAATTCATTATGGTTAACTCGTCTTTGAACAGCCTCAGACTTGCACAGGCAGATAAACATACACTGAAGGCAACTCAGTCGAACTCTGACAACACTGGCACAGTGTGTTGAGAATTAGTATTGCAACTGATGGCCATACTGTGCGTGGAAACCATAGAAAGAATGACAAACCAGTTTAAACTCTATTCCACTATTAATTTGACTTAAGTAGTAAAAATAAAGAAGCACTTCACTGACCTGCAGTCTATATTATTACTTTGATCAAGTCTTTTGTGCGGACATGGTTCCGATTATAATATTTTCATTGGATATAGGTTTAAACATACCCATGATTATGGTTATTCTGATTATAGTATTTTCTATTGGATAAACATTTACCTGATATTTCCCTTTAAATGACAGTATCATACTTTAAATATTGTATATTTTTTAAACAGAGCTCTGAGACAATAAGACACCACACAAGAGTTTCTCATTAAAATGAAGATACATTTTATTTCTTTTCTTAAAAAAACAAACAATACAAAAAAAATCTGAGGAGGAAAAATGAAACAAAAGAAACCAGTTTAAAATAAAATCAAGCACAAAAAAAAAAAACATTCATACGTTTTTGGACAGCTAGGTTAAAAACCAATTCATAGACAGCACGAGTGGAAAATATTCAGAGATGCCTGGCAGAAAGGATCGAACCATGTCAGAATGCCATTTATGCACTTGTAGACAGAAAAGCCCCTCGAAATGCATCATGGGATATACATCATATGTGTCTGGAATTAAAAACAAGCAGCAACAGAAATACATATTCAATGAGCAAACACACATAAGGTATGAATAGTACAATTCTTCTCAATCCTCACAGTGCAAATATGCCTCTCTGTGTCATGACATCACAAACACATCTGATCCAGGGCTGAAGAATAACAATATTTGACCTTTTTAAAACATTATTAGCTTGGTTGAAGAGATCCCCAACATTGAGCAATACAATCTCTGGGCGAAACGGGCACGAGTCAAAGATACCCAGTTTCTGAACATTTAGCTTTGCGGTACAAGATTTTGAAAAACAGGCTTGGTAAGGCAGAAAGACATCAGATTCACATTTCCTGTGCAATTAACCATTTTAAGGCCCGATCTCAGCGAACCTCTTTTGAGAAAAGAGATGAAAGCATTCATACTGCAGCCTTAATATGAGATGATCTGGTGGATGAGAAGAAAAAAAGCAAAGGCAAATGAAAAAAAATCAGAGCGAAATGAGCATGATTCTTGAAGAAATATTCCAGGTTCAAAATGCGTTTAGCTTGATGGATGGCATCATACCTCAGTTTGCAAAAAAACAAAAACAAAACAACAACAAAAAACACACCAAGAAGTGAACTTACAATGGGGCAAACATCAGACACTCGCCATTGTAAGTACACAACAAACTGAGGTACACATTGAAATTATTTTCTGTGATAATGTCGCAGAATTTGACTAAAACAGTAACTGCATTATGGTTCAAACTACACAAATTGAGACTGTTTATTTAAAAGGTAAAACTGAAAATTGAATAGCAAACCCTGGTTAAAAGTGTACCACGACAAATGTAATTCTCAAACCACGAGCATTAGATGTCAAAATTTCTCCATCTTCCGCTGATGATCCAAGCATGTTTAATAAATACAAAACGAATCCTCAGATAAGCAGAGCCGCTAGTATCCAAACAAACGGCGTGAACTATAACGGATCGCAAAACTTTCCTAACGAATGGCTTTCTAGAGAGGTATCACTACACAACAAACGCATTGGACCTTAATTAAAGACGGTTTCAGAACTTTGCGAAACTATTCATACGTTCATACGCAAATCGAATGCGACGTTTGTTAAACGCAAGCAAAAATTGTTCGTAAAACCAATCTTGCGCAAATTTCGCTGCGACAATTGCATTTACACTCCAATAAGCCATTACAGATTTACACTAATACTTGTTTTGTTTGCGCGGTGTGAAAGGAGTACATTTGCGCTAGAATGGTTTTACGAACATTTTACACAGAATGGATGAGGAACATCGGCCGCAACAATGCAGAGTAGGCAATAAGCTTTATACATGTTACCGAAATGAACGAGCGCTGAAGCAATTTTTTTTTTTTTTGTTGAGAATACGGTCATGTGATTACCCTGGGCGAGCAGAGACGCTACTGGTTGGAACGATGGGCTTCCCTCGAGATTATATACCCATAAATAAACAGACTCAGACACATTTTACTCAATAATATATATAGATATATACGCTAACAAGTTCTGGGAAAATGTCCTTTGCGATATGGAATTTATAGGCAAAAAAAAAAAAAAAAGGAAGGGGGAAATAAAAAGAGTTCAAACCGTTGAGCCAGGCCACAACAGACAATGAAAAAATCTGAAAAGCAAACAAGCCCAACCCCTCTCCCACCCCCCACCCCACCCCAAAAAATGCAGATAAGGAAAGAGTGTAAAGGGAAAGAGAAGAAAGGGACGCCGTTAATAACATGGCTAGTCTTCCCCGGATGGAGCCTCCTCTTCTGAGCCGTCCTCTTCCTCCTCGTCTTCCTCATCTTCGGGGGCATCATCCTTTGTCTTTTTGGTGGGAGGAGACTCTTTCTTCTCCACCTCATCTTCCTCCTCGTCTTCAAGGGGGCTCTCGGGTTCCTCGTCATCTTTAGGTGAGGACTTCTCCAGTGCTTTAGCTGCACTTGGGCGACCTTTCCCTTTCCCCTTCATGGGGCTGGGGTTCACTGAGGAACAAACAGATACGTTAACATTAACTTTACAACTTTGGAGTCAGTAAGGTCCTGTTTGGATGCGTTTCGGTCGATTGGATCTAGGGTTGGGCCGATGGACGAGCCCTCAAAAGTGAAGCCAAAACGTCTCGATCGCCCCCCCGTGACCGGTCCTAGTATAGGCCATATCGAGACGCTGGCAGCTTCAGTTCTCGCCGATGGAAAAGAGCGAAGGGGCGTCGTCCATCTTTTTTTACACTCTATGGTTCAAACAGCCCCAAAAGACGCCTACTCTCCGCCTTCTGACCTGAAGTGCACTAGCCAGACGGGATTTATACTTGTCAGAAAGGACACAAATTTGGTTTTATGGCCGAAAAATGCACACACACACACACACACACAAAAAACACAGTGTTCTCTCACCATTCCTGATTTCTAACACACACTCAGTGTTCAGCGCTGAATTGCGACTGTCAGAGCAAGCAAATGCCCATCGCTTTATTCACCAAGTGTGCCACGTTTAGCAGCATTTATTATGGGATTATGACTGTTTGATACATAGATTAAAGGGTTAGTTCACCCAAAAATGAAAATTCTGTCAGTATTTACTCACCCTCATGTTGTTCCAACCCCGTAAGACCTTCGTTCATCTTCGGAACACAAATTAAGATATTTAAGATATTAAGATCGCTCCTGCATACTAGTCCGTAGGCCTCTTGAGGGAATGACTCTCGCTGGCCTCAAAAAGTCATTAAAGACATCGTTAAAATAGTCAAAGTGACTACAGTGGCTCAATCTTAAGTTTATCAAATGACGAGAACACTTTTTGTGCGCAAAAACAAACAAAAATAACGACTTTATTTCAACTATTCACTTCCTTCTCCATGGGCCTGTAGTCAGTTAACGTAGTGTGATTGCGTAGAGCTACGTCACACGTAGGCTCACTATTGGCCAACGCTGGTCATGTGTGTGATGCGTGTGACGTACAATAACAGAAGCATACGCTATTAAACGAGTAACCTGACTCGAGGCAGAGGGAGAAATAAACTAATAGTTGACAAAGTCGTTATTTTTGTTGTTTTTTGCGCACAAAAGTGTTCTCGTCGTTTGATAAACTTAAAATTGAGCCACTGTAGTCACTTGGACTATTTTAACGATGTCTTTAATGACTTTTCGAGGCCATCAATTGTCATTCCCTGAAGAAGCCTATGGACTAGTATGCAGGAGCGATCTTAATATCTTAAATATCTTAATTTGTGTTCCGAAGATGAACGAAGGTCTTACGGGGTTGGAACAACATGAGGGTGAGTAAATACTGACAGAATTTTCATTTTTGGGTGAACTAACGCTTTAAGTGCTCAAATAGATCACATGTACACAAGTCTTTAGATGATTTCTTACTTTTAGACTAGTCGGTTACAAAACAGTGGTTACCTGTGGCCTTTAGCCGGGGTTTAGGGGATTTCTTGTCCTTCTTCTCAACTCTCCTTCCTCCTTTCGGCACCACTTTTTTGCCTTTCTTTTTGGAGTGCCCATAGTCACTGTCATCATCATCATCAACCATGAAGTCTTCATCACTGCCAGACTCCTCTGCAGAGAAAATCGGAAAGTACATTGTGAAATGTGAGTGGCGCTTGGCTCTGCAAAAATGGCCACCACAATACTATTGTAATGTGAACCATTGCTATGGTGTTACTAAGGGATTCTGAGTAGTTAATGTCATGTGAAGTTGCCAGGTGTCCAATTACTGGCTTTTAGTTCATTTGAGGCATCTTTACACAGCTGATTTCTGACTGGTCTGTATCTGCTTAACAAGACATAGACATAATGCTGCATAACAGGCAGACAACATTATGCCTGCTCTGACCCACCTCAACTGCTAGCATTAAAGTATACTGCTGAAAAGCGTTGTGTAAAGAATCCTAATGGCCGCCTCAATGACACCTTTACAGTGTAAACTTGCCATTAGAGCCCGACCGATAAAGGATTTTGAAGGCCGATACCGATACAAATATTTTTTGGTTTTAAAATCCGATATGCCGATATATCGGCCGATATTTTTTTAATTTTTTATTTCAGAAAGGCGCAACAAAACATTAACAGATTTCCCTAACATTAGTTATTTGTAGTTATTTATGAGTTTTAACCAAAATAATATGATGAAGCATTTTAAAAAGAAACTTTCTAAAAGTTTATTTTATTGTCACAACAGAACAGACTGATGATAGTGGCATTAGCTAGCTTTATGGTTAGCTAGTCTATGATGAACCATAATTTAGCAATGGATTACGTCATACTGCAAATTGTAAAACATACATTTTCAATATAACTGGCCGAGGAAACTTCCGCCGGCCACAAATGTTGTCATGCTTATTTGAGTTAAGTGAACTGATGGGGGTGTTCTTTTAATTGTTATTCAAGCAATGTATGTATCGCGACCAACTCAACGAGTGTTGCCAACAGGAACGGTGTAGAGTGCCCTCTGGCGGACAAACTACACAACACTCATGACATGGTTCAAGCGTGTTTCGTCCATTTTTATTGTATTTTTTAAAATTTAATTATCGGCCATTATAACTGCCGATACCGAAAGTTTGGAAAATGCCTAATATCGGCTGATGATATCGGCCTGCCGATATATCGGTCTGGCTCTACTTGACATTGTTGTATCATTCGCCAGGCCAAGTCCAAGCATGAGCAATATTAATAATCATAGTGATGCTGAGTCAAAGGGACAAACATATTGAACACTGCAGTTAAAATTAAGCAGCACACTTACGGTCCAGGAATGCCTGTTCTTCCTCATCTTTCTCCTCATCCTCACTGCCACCGTCTCCCAGAAGGATTTCTCTCTGTTTGGACACGGCCTTTGACGCCGCCTGCCTCACCTGCCTCGGTTTCCTGCTCACCTCTTTATCATCATCACTATCATCTGCAGACATCAACAACAGATGCATTCACATTTCTGCTATTTTCACATCTGATTTCAGAACACGCACTCCTAAACTGTGCTTGTTTTATACTTTGGGCTTTTTCAGTCTAAATGGGCAGTTAATGGTGAGAATAAGACTAAACTTTATGCTCATAGTTTAACATCTGCTGCTTCATGTTTTATGCATGAGAGCTCAAGGAGAAATAAAAAAAATTGTCAGTCCGCGTCTCACCTCCACCTCGTTTCCTCTTCAGTGACTTTTTGCCTGGCTTCTCCACCTTAGCTTTCTTTCCCTTTTTGGCCTTTTTCTCATCATAGTCACTTCCTCCATCTTCCTCTTCCCCTTCCTCTCCCAAGTCGTTGTCTTCATCACTACCGAAGTCATCTGAAAAACACAAGATTAGAGGTTGATCATTTTTCTATGCAACTTTATTTTGAATCAAATCATCTGCGGTAGATGAAATAGCACAATTTACCTGCGGAGTCATTTTTGGATTTGGACAGTTTGTCATCTGAATCCTCGCTGCAACGGAAAAGGTTTGTTAGTAGTTTGAACTTTGAAGGAGAAAGTCCTTGTATGTGGCATTTATCTCCTAGTTATAATTAACCGCAGCATATATGTGGGTCATTAGGAGAAAACGTATCTCAAAAAGGTTCACAATCTCTGGGGATCCCAACACACAAGAATCCTGTCATGAAATTCACCATTTAATACATATAAAATCATTTTAAATGCATTATTCTAATAATATATTATCATCAAATACACCAAAGCTAGAAAAAGACGAGATTCTTGCCTCTCTTCCTGTGAATTCTTAGTCTTCTTGTTCTTGATTTCACGGGGTGGAGCACGTATCTTCTTAGTTGTTTCCTTGTCTCTCCCATAATCCTCATCTGGAGGCAGAAATCAGATGGATTGAACCATTAAGTACATGACAGAATATTTGCATTTCAATATTTGAATATAAATTCTGTCGCACATCAATACTTTTCCTAAAATTATGTGTTTTAGAGACGGTTTAATACCTGCATCGTCGGATTCATTAAACTGGGAGTAATTCACCACCTTTCTGTTCCTGTAAGAAAGACAAAATACTGTAACAAGAGTTTGTGACGCAGCGGTGCATTTGACATTTATTCTTGTTTTAAGGGCTTACAGACCATTGGAAGGTGGTCAGCATTTCTTTAACATTTCTCGCTTCATTATGTTTCCTTAAATTAATAATTGTTGAATAGTTCCTCAATTAGCATTTCAATGAGGGTTTCATTAATACTGCAGTCTTGTTCCATTTAACCACTCAGGCCCGACATGGTGTTGAGATGCTTGAAAAGCCACAAGTTACTTTAAAGTAATTAGACGTTTTGGATTATAAATTACAATACTGAATCATCAAACCAGAAAGGACATGATGATAATATACATAGTTAATTGTATAACTAATAATTATCATATTGTGTCTTAGTGTCTACTTGTACATACCACATACATTCATTAATACATTTGATTTATAACAACGTTTCAATTGTAAACATTAATCTGAGGTAGATTGAGAGTAGCAGGAAGTCGATAAACCATTCACAGTATTAATCACGTGACACACGTAGAAAAATGACCACTACCGTTACCCAGTAAAATCCGACAAAATACTGGGGATTTTGTTCAAGTTATGAAAGAAACACTGTAAATTAAATACATAACTTTGTGAAATTGATTTCATCGCAAGTCTTCTTTTGGCGCAATTCCTCTTATTTACCATGGTGAGGCTTTTCAGAATCTACCATTTTATTCATTCTTTTTTTTTTCTCAATCTGTGGTGGTTAATATCAAGTTAACAATAACTTATTTACCGGTAATAAGTTATAATCAAGTACTAAATCGGTATTCGCTATATTTGCATATAGTCACCACGGTGAATGTTCGTCAGCACAGCGTGTTACGTTCTTTTCTGTAACGTTACGTGAGGAAGGCGCGCGCACCATTTTTACTCTTTTTTTTTTTTTTTTACGTCGGCCCTCGGTCGAAAACGCACAAGTCATATTTATTAATCTGCTATTACAATTTGAAGTCAAAATATGAAGACTGAACATGAAATTTTGTGCACGTTTTTCACATAACTCCAAACGGGAGGTGTGGTCGCTCTCAACCACCCCGCCCCCCTCTGTCGTCACACGCGTCGTGTTAATTTACCGCTATCAAAAAAATACCTCAAAAACGCGCTTCCCTCCCTAAAACACCAACGGGCTTTCGCAATCTATTGTTTCTGCATCGTTGAGAAATGTGCGCAAATATGTGTGCTTTACAGGTTACAAAATCACTTGAATGGGCCAATGTGCACCTCCAATGGGATTTTATTACCCCCTCCTTAAGCTTTGGCGAGGATGAATGGGAAGCCATATTCTCACTGGCTTACAAGGAAACATTTAGCCTTTTAGTGCTTCTCAAACAACAAATATATTCTGAAAAATAGGTAGGAGATCCACGAAGAATAACAGATTTCAGAATCCTGATTGATGCACATTAGAAACGTCCACGACATCCCCATAAATGTAAAAGACACAGCCCTCCGCCACTAGGGAAGAAACAACGAGCAAAATGCATGCACGAATGAGCCAAAATGTTACAAAATCGAGCTCTAAACAAGAACATAATGATGCCTGGCACATGCGTGAAGCCTAGAAGAAGTCAGTGTGCATGCAGCAGCCATCAGCAGGACGAATGGAAACCCACGTACCTCACTGGTCTTGCCATTTTGCAGGAATACTGTAGAGGTTAAAAATTGTGAAAGAGCAAAAGAAAAGCAGGGAAAATGCAAACAAAATGTGCTGTTTTAAAACACAAGAGGTGACGTCGCAAAACCAACGCCCTCTCCCTGTGGTAAAAATCAAACAATGCGGGAGATATTCCTGCTCTACGAAGGTATTTAGTTTAAATTTTTACCTTCAGCTACTCAAAATGGTGAATAAAACAAACTGAAACTGCAGCCTTCGCGCAACCTAACGATTGGATGGAGGGCGGGGATTGATGTTAAAGCTCAGCCCACTCAGCTAGATTTGCCCAGAGAGCGACGTTATTGGTGAGTTCAAATGATTGTTCGATTTGTGATTGGGTGTTGAGGCTGTCAATCAAATGTAGTGTCTCCAAAGCGTTTACCCTCCCCCTCGTTTGCGGATAGGTTGAAACAGCATGGCTCGGCTCAGAAACAAAAAGAGGCCCTCACGATATGCAAGATATCCCAGTTTAACTGTAGAACAACTTTGTGTCGTTTGTTTCTTTTGAAATTAAGTTTATACAAGCGAGAGCACACAACAAACGGGTTGAGACCTCGGAAATGTACATTTTGTTGGCTATATTGACCTCAAATCAGACCTAACTCGATCACTTTTAAAATTATATTATTGCAATACTGATAACAGGAATATGTTGCTTTAATGCTAACAGTTACTAGCATTATTCAACCTTAATAGCATATGTCACATTTAAATTTCTTATTTTAATAATGTTAATTATTGTTTTTATGGGAAGTAAGATAAATGTTTGGATATTATATCACAATTCCCATTTTTTTCAATGCTCATTCTCACTGAATTTTGCAATAGATTGAATCGCAGTGAAAACAAAAATGTCTCCAGACTGACCACCCTCTTGGTTTGCTTTGTTTTGATAAAACATTGCTCACAAATGGCCCTTTTTTGATGTTGTCCACTTTTAGTGGATTGTTCCCCTGGCTTTAAGTTTGCATAAATTAATGTTCGGTTTGAGAGCTTAGAAAATAAGTATTTTAGAAAGATTTAATTCCCATAAAGTATTGATTTTAGCTGACTTTCTACCCTGAAATGTGACCTAACTTGATAATTATTGAAAGAATATTATTGCAAATATAACAATGCAATCAGTTTAATTTCGATCTTCTTCATAATAGTGTAAATAATATTTGCCCTTGTTATTTTTGACGGAAATGGATGTGAATAACAGTGTAGGCTGTTTAATATTCAGTCTCCAGAATCACATGAATGGAAGGAATAAGGAATGTATCTAACATGTAACTTCAAAGTATTTTAATGCTCACATCATATGCATTGACTGTGTATTTCCCTTTATTTCTGTTCCAGGAAAAAGGATTTCTTCCTCTTTATTCCCCTAGTCTTTCGCTGCAGACCCTGGGATCCTCTCTGCTCAGCAGTTATTGAAGTGAGGAGAAGGTATGTCTCCATGGCAACCAGGTATGATTCTCGTCCTTTTTTTTTTTTTTTTTTTTCGCCCATCCATCAGTGTTTGCATTTCTTTAGCCTTCCGTAATCTTCCAAAACATCACTGGAAGAGTTCCTGAGAAGGAAATCGGCTACTATGGAGGGTCAGTCATCTCATATTGCTTTTGTTTATTTGGATGCATGTCATCTGTTGCCACAGCAACCACTCACTTTTCTCCCTGGAGTGCACACAGAAATCACATCTAAATTCCAAGACAAATGCTGTCACAAAAAAAGTAGGACATGTGCAAAAATGCTCTCACAGGCTATCACACCGTATGTGTGGGGGCCACGTGCATAAACTTGTGTTTGCTCACAGCTCATGGGCAAAGTGCACTGTAGTGTAGCTTTTGTTAGAACCTTTGTCAGACCAAAAACTCATCTGATTCATCATCTGATATCAATTAAATGTTAACGTGGGTGAATCCTGTCATAACATCCTTTCAAAATCTAAAAATAAATAAATAAATCAAGCATGTGTTTAGGATCAATCACTATTTCCCTCCTTTTTTTGCAATGTGAAAAATAAACAAATTCAAGGCTCAATGCTAGGGATTTATTATATTTTTTATTCAAATTTGTACTTGCCATGCTAGAATTTTCAATGACCCTACCACAAAAAAGTTATAAATAAATAAATAAAAATAGTTAATGTTTTCATTGTGTTTGACCCATTGAAGACAAGCAAGCAGTAATGAAATAAAAACAAATAATCGAATTAAGAGCAATACAATGCTTTCCAGGTTTTTCAGGTTGGTCTAACAGTAGTATAACACTGCATATTCCTCACTGTATACATTAGTTAAAAAAAAAAGTTATTCAGTCAACCCAGCAAACAGAGAACGTTCCCCAAACATTCATGGTTCCCATTTGGTTATTTTTTGGGAACCAAACAAGAACATTCTAGGAACGTTCCCTATAGGTTATTTTTAGGTTTCATTTTAGAACCTAAGAAGAACGTTCTGGGAATGTTCCCTGTAGGTTATTTTTAGGTTCTATTTTTATAACAGGGAACGTTCCCATTAAGTTGCCAAAATGTTCCCCTAAATACATTTTAGCTAGATTATGTTCAGCGATGTATGATTATGCTGGATTATATTTAAATAATGGTTTGTATTTTAAAAAAACATCTATCGCTTGTCTTTATGAGTGAGTCGACTCACATGATTTATGTTTCACGCTTGAGAACTTCTGTACAACATCTGAAATTGCATATTTCCTTTCTATATTCGAAAAAAAACAGTATGTGACAAAATAAGAAAGTACTCATAAAACAGTAGGATTCAAAAAGCACTCGGATGACCAACTACTTCCGGTGAGATTCTGAAGTGTGCATACGATGGACACTTTACTATCATGAGGCCACAGGAGAAGATTTGTGAATGGCAGTGAAGCGACGTAACTGACGCTTGTAGGTCACATCATGATAATGGCAACATGGCAATGTACTGACTGTAGTAGCTACGTCCAGATTACATTTATCCTATACACACTCATTTTATAGAATAACATACTTTTTTAGTGGTCTTGAAGTTATTACTTATTCAAAATAAGCACTTATTCAAGAGATTATGCGATTTCAGACGCAGACACATGAACATCGATGCTCCCTTGTTCCCACAATGCTTTGTGGGATTTTTTTAGGGAGCGAACATTTCAGTGCACTGGAAGTATTTTGCGATTTTTACGATTGAGAGACAGATAAGCTGCAGTCCGGCGTTTTACCTCTTTGTCGCCATCTCTGTTCGAAATCTGCAATTGCAGTAATTCGCGTAATTATCAACTTTACGTACAGTTTAACATTTTTATAAACTAATATTAGCAAAGGTTATTGTAACGGTCACCAGCTGGAGTGCCTTTGAGAGCCGCCAGAGGGCACTCCACGTCAGTCTATTGTCATTCCCTCACAAACTACATCTCCCATAAGTTCCTCACTGGCCAGACTCTTCATCCATTATCACATTCACCTGTGTCTCATTATCTTGTTTAGCTTACCCCATATATGCCCGGGTTTCTCATTCATTATCTGTGATGTCTTGTTTAGTGTTACACTGCAATTCTCAGCATTCTCGCTGGTTTCATGTCTATTAGTTTTGGACGTCTAGTGTTCCCTGCCTTGTTGTGTTTGTTTGACTGCCTGTGTTTGACCTTGCATGTACTTTGGATTACCCTGTTCAGTAAATACTTCATTTGGATGTCAATGCCTCAACATTCTTGTCTCATAGCAGTTCGTGACGGTTATATTAAATATATTTTATTTTTAATTTGACCATTTTGTTTATAGGGTGTAATGTGACCTGGATTTACTGAGATTCATCCAGGTAGGAATCATGGAATCATGTCAAAGAGTCCAAAAACGTTGGTAACACTTTACGCCTTTATGTATAAAGCATTATAATGGATGTTAAAATGCATAATAATATTTGCAAACTCTGTTACATCAGAAATTTGTCATGTGTTTTATCGCATTATATATTCTGAACAGGTGTTCAGTGAATGAATATTATAATTGTGGTAATGAGACAATACATTGCTTTACATGGTGTGTTACAAAGCATAATTAATGCATTCAAATAATTTTATAATGCTCTATGTATAAAGGCTGAATTGTTAGCCAAAATGTTTAAAATGCCCCCAGCAAAGCAAATAACTTAGTAGCTTCTCTGTTTTACTTTTCTCAATCTAGTTGCAATGGTAATAAAGGAACACGAGAGGGCAGTATGGCACTTCTATGACATGGTTTGCAAATTGCACAGACAATTTAATTCATTTTTACTGAGGGATCTTTGAATAATAGAGCTGTTATGTAATGTGAGTACTTATGCGTGTTTTTCAAGTGAGTTCATGTGCAGAACTATTGTGATTATATTAAGACCGTCTGACTTTGAGTCGTGTCTGTCAGTGGAGCTTCTCACCTGCCTACAAAAATGATTTGAGCATTTGAGCCATGCTTAATGTCTCAGCTCAAAATATCAAACCTTGAGGCATTTATTTTTATAGACGGCACTCTTTTTCAAGCAATTTTTTCAGAGGGTTTGCTATCTAATGCAATGACGTCCATGCTTTTTAAATTGCCACTAGACTATTTCATGTGAATTCAGAATAATATACCACTTAAAAAAATGTTTTTTGTCCTTTGGCTATTAGTGTATTTATATAATTTCTAAGCGCATATTCTACTTTTTTACCACTTGAGATAGAAACTCATTTTATAAAATACAGAGACCAAGGTTTCTGTATCTAGCTCTCCTGCTATAGCTGGATAGTATAGCTCTGTAAGTAGGTTTGGTTATGGTTATTGTTCTTTACTGTATGTAAACAGCGCCTTTCTCGTGTTTTGTAAGCATATGTGTTATGTTTGCTATAGAGTAGTTGATATCATTTTGAAGTGATATTATAATGTTTGAAGTCTTGAGGTGAATTAGGCTACTGTAAACGCATACACAGATGCTGTTGATAGCCTAACTTGAACCTGAAGGGACATTAACCAGCAAGACTAAGATTAGCTAGACCAGCCCCAAACTAGTACTTTCGAGCATGAACCCCCCTTAAACAGCATGCAAATCACTCTCTCAACACTTTGAAAGACTTCTCTCGCCACACGCCGTCCAGTATCTCCGTCCTGAAGCGTGTAGGAATCCAGAAGCAGCTGTGTCTGTGTCCCATCGCTGAACCTCTGATAGCACACTTCACTCAGTGCTGTGGAGAGTTTATTCAAATAGATCTCAACTCCCCGCAGCCGCTTTACACACAAACACGTAGGCGAGAACACAGTCTGGGGAGTTTGAATTTTAAGACATACTTATTTGCAATTGCTGGCACACTATTCTTGGACAAGAGCCCTGCAGAAAAACGAGAGGAGGCTTGCAGTGAACGGTGGGAAAAATAATGTCTTTTTTATTGAAGCATGCCAAATGAAAGAATACGTACTTGTTTTATCGTTTTATGTAAATGATGGATCGCTCTTAAAGGGATAGTTCACCCAAAAATGAAAAAAAAGGTCATTCATTATTTGTCCTTGTGTTGTTCCAAACCCGTAGGGCTTTCGTTCTTCATCTTCGATACACAAATGAAGATATTTGTGATGAAATCTGAGATCTTTGTTCCTCCATTGACATACAACTGCCATTTTGAGCATTCAAAAAGTTCATAAAGAGATCGTAAAACTAACGTTAATCCATATGAATTGAGTGGTTGAGTCCAAATTTTCTGTACACGATCAATTTATCCCAGATAGCAAACTGACATTGAATCAACGTGGAATGACATCGAAACAACGTTGATCTGACATTGTTTTGCTCATCGAATTAACGTCGAACCAACGTCAGACGCGTCATTCTTTCAAAACTAACGGAAAATCAACTTGAAATCAACGCGTTGTTTCAACGTTATGAAAGCAAACCAATTTTCGATTTCATTTAGCTTTGAAGAATGCCGCGTCTGACGTTGGTTCAACGTTAATTCGATGAGCAAATCAACGTTGTTTCAATGTCATGAGAGACGTCGTTTCCACGTTGATTCAATGTCAGTTTGCTGTCTGGGATATGATGAACAGATTGAATTTAGTCTTTTATTCACACATAAATGTGAACTTAAACAGAAGACCGAACTTGCTTGACACGTGAGATTGAACCTCATTGGTTCTCGCATGCCAAGCGAACATGCTTCAGCTTCCGTTCATCATAACTGATGTGTGTTTTGATGAATGTTTATGGTGAATTATTATTATTTTTAATTCATGTGCCTTTTTAAATTTTAATAAAATAACTTCCCCTCCCCCTTACATCTCTTCTCTGATGGACCGTTTACTGGCATGAGGGCGGGACAAACTATCACTCGATCCACCAATAGGAAACCACAGCTATCCAACGATCCAATCAATTCCTTATGTCCCGCCCTGTATTTGTTTTTCTTTGAGAAGCATTTCATTTGGACATCACAATAGGGAATAGACTATCGCAACTTCCGTTTCATGACAACTTAAATTTTTTAGACTTTTTGGAATAAGTTTTTATGGTGTCGTTTTCAATGTATTCAGTGTATTAGTAAAAAACATTATTTAGAGAGAGTCCGCTATTAGTTAAGAAAGGGGAGAACCTTTTTTTTTTTAATCAAAAATGTCATTTCCAACACAAAATTGAATTTGAGACTTGATGTTTAAAAGCTACATAAGACCCTTTTATATATAGTCCACAGTTTCTCACACTGAGTCACTGAACCTAAATCTGATGTGCTTTACCTTTAATTGCTAATTGCAAGAAGCCCCAGATAGGAACCATTTTTCTCTGATTTATTTCTGTTTCGCTTTAATCCTGAAAATAATTAGTTTACCATGATCCATTTACTAACATTTTATAGATAGGCCTATGAGTTTTAATCTGCAGTAAACTCCAGATGGCTTGCAATAGGACTTTGAAACCAACGAGATGGAATGGCTGAAAAATTATGGGCCGCAGAGCTTCAACACCCCGCAAAGCAACGTATTTAAATTAGAACAAAGGCATTCCAGGATGAAACATTCTTCTCAGCCAGAAGGCATTTTAATGCTAGAATATATTCAATGCTAATGCCTTTGAAACTTCCAAGAGAGCCGTTTTATAGAATTCTTAAGCCGTATTGAAGGGTTTAAAAACTTCCACACAGCTAGATAAAATCTTTAAATTATTAAATCTTTAGAATGTTCATTTCTAACAGTCTGTTGCTAAAAAGGATTCCATTAAGTCTGTACAATTGGAGAGAAAAAGCAAACCTAAAGGTCCTGATATCAGTGCGCATATTCTCCTTCTGGTGAAGTTGGTTGGCGTCTTGGTGTTCAATACAAAGTGTCTTTTGACAGGAAATGTGGCATGTGTTTAATGCACTCACAATGGAGGTTTGTGGGAAAATGCATTTCACTCTGATGCAAAAAAATAATTTCTTACTCTGTGTCTTGTTTTCCAGTACATCCAGTTCCTAAATCAAGATACATTTAAGCCTTGTTTTCTGAAAAAAAAAAAAAAAGAAAAGAAAAGAAAAAAGGCCGGATTCACATATAGCGCCTAAAAACGCGAAGAAAACGCTGGGCGCGCCGCATTCTCCTTTTTAAGCGCTAGGGCGGTTGCGCTATTGTCACGTGACCCATACGATGCGCTTGCGGCATTCTGAAGTTCAGATGTTTTTATCTCGATGCAGCGCGAACGCGCTTGGAAAAAACGAGCGCGTCGCGCCGCGAACACGTAGCTTATGAGCGCGCATTCCGCGCGGCGCGCCTATTTGAAATAACGAACTTGAGCGCGCAAAAGACGCGATAAGTGAACAGGCCTTCGGTGAATATTCTTAAAGCAGTACTATGCAGGTTTTTTTTGTTTTTTTTTTACCTTAACTGAAAAGCTTCGGAGTTATTGCAATGGTTATATGACTATTTTCGGGTTGAATGTTGGGCGTCACTGACAGACATTATTTTCTTGCTTTAAGCATAAACTTACTTAATTTTGAGGATTTTTTTTCAGAAAACAACAATGAATATCAAGTCATTTTATTTCTAAAGTAAAAGGTATTTTGATTGTAAAAAAGTTTCAATATCTAGGGGTTTTTTTGTTGTTTGTTTTTTTTTTTGTTTTTTTTTTTTGCAGTGAACAAAAGTGAAGTTCATAAAATCGCTTAGGCCTACTAATCTTGTCTGTGCAAAGTTATATCCAGTAATTCTCCTGTCATGATCATGCAAAGCCTGTAAAATAGAAGTTTATCTGCTTTGTTTGTATATTTTGTTTGAATGTAAACGCTTTAACAAAAGTACAGGATCCATATTTCTAGGTGGCTGCTTATTGGTCAAAGTCTGTATACTGAAAAATATTAGTAAATCATGAGCAGTAACAATTTAAAATAAAATATCCCCAACAATTACAAAGTAACACATCGAATTAACAAAAACATGAAATTTCTTCATGAACATATAATCTAAGCTTTGAACATTTTTTTTCAGTGTATGAAATGGCTTGGGTCTCTTTTTGATTGGTTTTATCGTTCGCCATGCCTTAGTGACAGCACAGAGTCTATATGTGTACAAGATGCAGTGTAATATAACTAAATCCTCATCAAATAGATCCCATATCACAAAGCTGTATGTGTGGTTGACATGCATTTCAAGGGCCCCCCAATCTACATAAGTAAGGCGTTTGATTTTAAGCCGTTTGCCTTGGCAAGGCAAATGAGCGGCAGCTCTCTCCATATGTTAGTGTGAGTAAACAAACATGCTGAATTGTGTCATAACCGTTTGTCTCTATAGACATCAGCCACCTGTTGGGGAAATCTGCTTTATGTTCACGAATCCAAGCGATAATGCGACATGTCAGGTTGTGTCAGCTGCCACCACCCCTCCAGGACGTCAGAGGTGCGTGTGTGTGCATGTGTGAGTGAAGTGTGTCATCCGTTCTCAGCAGGTCCTAGACATTCATAACCTATCAAGATGCTGGTGTGATGCACTACATGTGACCTGGTGATAAAAATGTTCAAAAGTGGCTGATTTTTTTCTCCTCCTCTCCTCAGTGGCGCACACTCGTCGAAAAGCTGTCATCTCTTTCTGGTGTCTGCAGTGAAGGATCAAAGCGGGAACAGGCAGCCAGCAAGAGAGAGAGAGAGAGAGAGAGAGAGAGAGAGAGAGAGAGAGAGAGAGAGAGTTTGGGGTGAACCAGAGGACGCAGCCTCTCCAGTTAAACAGGGTATAACCCAGTTGCTGCCAGATTGAAGGAATGCTGCTTCTCTGTAAACAGATTCAATTAAGACATCAAACCGTACGATGAAAAAGAATGCCGATGAGGAAAAAGCCAGGTTCAGGGTCGAACCGCATGCCTCCCCTGCTTTTCTCTGATTTAGAAACAGACTTCTTTTGATTAAATAATCATCGCTTCGTATAAATGCAAGTTGCGGACCAGACGCGCGCGTAGACACAGATGAAATTTAATGAGCTCGGTAAGATGCCGCAGAAGCGTTGCTGTTTTTAAGACCTCTGAATAAAAGCTCTTTAGATCTGGGGCGCTCATGCTGCGTTCCACAGATTTCCAACGTCCTACTTGGAAAAGTGCGATAGAATGCCAAAAGCCGGACTTCCAATTGGGAAACGAGTGTGGAAATCCTACTTTTTCCATAGCACTCTTTATGCACTATTCTGTGCCATTTTGTAGCAATAAGTGTGTTCACACTGAAAGTTGCCAAAAGAAAAAGTGCATTTACTTAAAGTCCCTGTGAAATCAAAATTGAACCTATTTACTTTGTTAGCGCATATTACTAATCTTGTGGTGAACAATTAATCCGTGCAAGTGAATATATATTAAAAAAATGTTTTACCTTAGTAATCTTTAATCAAAATCTGAAAAGTTACTTCCGGTCTGGAACGGTTTCTTTTTCTGATGACGTAGGTTTCACAGTTTGGGTGGGGAAAACGCTTAACCACTCCCCTCAAACCGTTGCTATGACTATGAGCCGTTTGCTATGAGCGAGAGATGGAGAGGAGGAGCGCTAGAGTAAAACCCTGCCCTGCCTCTGTTCAATATTCCGTTTCACTTAAAAATACGTCACAGCAGCACTGGAGAAAAATCGTTTGCAACTTCCGGTTCACGGGGACTTTAAAAAACCCAGATGATGCACTAATACAAACCGAGTGTGGAATGTTTGGACGCTTCATGCACCAAACTGTCGCAGTTTTCTGCACGTATAGTGGAAGGGAAGGGCTATCAGCATCACATCACTCAAGAAAAGGTTCTATATCGAACCTTAAAAGGTTCTATCAGCGCTACGTATTTGGAACCCCTTAAAGGTTCTATACAGAACCCTTTTTAAGGGTTCAATAATTAGAACCAGTTCTTTGTAACCAAGAAAAAGGTTCTATATGGAACCTTTGGGGTTCATTCATTATCATTAGTTTTGTCCTTTCCGGATTAAATATTTCATATTATTGACAAACATCAAGACCCTAAAATGTATTTATGAATGCATGTCAAGATATGGCGGTTAGAAAATGTATATATTTATATCATTTTAAGTAATTAATCAATATCACACAAACAGTGCAATTTCAGGTTTTTTCCTCCAAAAATCAGCATGATTAAAAACAGTTTAATAAACAATAATTTAATTACAACTACAAAATGCTGCAGAATAATATAATATATGAATGAATAATCGCCTATAAAGAACCTTCGTGCCAAAAGTTTTTTTTTCTTGTCATTATAGAAACTTTTTTAGCATAAAAGGTTCTTTGGAGTTGAGTAAATATATAGAACACCAATGAACCCTTTTTTAGGTTTGTACACTACATGGTAGAGTATAAGTGCATTGTGTGTATGTAGAAATATATCTTTTAATTTAATTGTCATTCACAATGCTTCATGGGAATGCAGATTTTCTCTCATTAAAGCTGTCTCCAATTTTCCAAAACTTTTTTTTGCTTTAAATCAAAGTTAGTAATTTTGTAATTCACCTCATAGCTTTGTTTGTTTGGTTCATGATTTATAACGTTTAAAATAAGACTTAAAAAAATTCCCTATGGGAAAAATGGCTGAAAAAAAAAAAAACTTAACTTCTGGAACCAAAGCTGCTGAAAAAGTGTACAGATGCAAGCGTGTTTGTGTCAGTTTGATTGCCTTAAAATTCATTATTTCCTTTAGGCTCATGCATTTAATTTCTTATATTTTTTCCTCCTCGACTAACCTTTTCCACATCCATGTCGCAAGGGGTAGTGGGCAATTTTATGCCAAAAAGCATGAAAAAACCAACAGTAATATTGCACAATCTGGGTAACTTTGTTATTATATAGCTTTCACCGGGTAATATAGGCTTTCTTGTTTGGGCATCTGGGCACCCTTGTGTTGTTGCCCGAGTCCTTTTTAGATCCAAACTATCCAGTGCACAACTACAGTGAAACGGTTAGTGCACCACAGTCTTCGGATGCCGCATTAACGGACTTGCTTCAATTTTCGCCACTACCTTTGACACAGCTATGATAACTGGGCATGTTTGATTTTGTACTCGCATTTTGAATGTGTCATGTCTTTGACTTGTCAGACCAGAGGACATGTCTGTATTTGCCCGAGGACGTCCATGTGTTGATGTGAGATCGAAAAAACTGATGTCCCTCAAAGGTCACCGAGGTCACAATACCGCCTGTCCCCACCCAATTATTGGTCTATTACACTGTCTGCAAAGCGGTTTTCATCAGCACAGCTTTCTGCCCTAGATGCAGCCTGCGGTCTGGCGTGAACGAAACCCACTGCAACACTTGCTCTCTGTTGCTATCACTCTCTAAATCTCTCTATTGCTCTCTTTCTGCCTGAGAATGATAGAGATGTTTGGTGTTTGACTTAATAGCGTTTGACATCTTACTTCTCTGACAGATGAGCGGACATTAGTGGAGTGTTATTGCAGCCTCCACCAGTAGAGGTCACTGTAGACGCTGATGAATGTGATGGGGAAACACGTTCAAATGCATTTTCTGGCACCCTTGCTCATGGTTTGCCTTCATTATAACAGCATCTGTGTTGTTGCTAAACAGAATCATAAATGTTTCATTTTAAGAGTCTGTTTCTCATTGGTTCCCTGACATGTCAACCTCTGACTTAACCAATGGCATGAGTTTAGGGTGGGTTTGCCTTTTCAAAGATGGTGCACTCATCTATCTTCGAACTCATGTATCAGAATGAACAAATCTTTTTTCGAGTCATTTCATTCTTTGAATGAACCACGATGAACGAGTTCAAACAGGAGAGTCATTTCTGCTTATAAAACTTAAACTTTTTATTTATTTTTGAAATGACCGATTGTTTCACTAGATAAGACCCTTATTCATCGTCTGGTGTCGTTTAAAGCCCTTTGAGGCTGCACTGAAACTCATTTGGACCTTGAACCGTTTGATTCCCATTGAAGTACATTATATGGCGAAAAATCCTGGAATGTTTTCATCAAAAACCTTCATTTCTTTTCGACTGAAGAAAGAAAGACATGGACATCTTGGATGACATAGGGGTGAGTAAATTATCTACTAAATTAAGTGAACTACTCCTTTTAAATACTTTTACAAAAAAGTATTCAGAATACAATATGCACTAAAGGAAAGCATAGAATTATGTATGGGATAATGTACATCCAGTTGGATGTCATCGCAGATTTAACCCTGCAGGGTGATGAGGTCTTGCATCAACCTGAAGGGGTTTATTCTGCAATAACAATCATCTGATTGTACATTATGCTGCTTATTTCAGGGCTACTTGTCACATAAGTAAATACTTAGAAATGAAATATTGATCTGAGTCGCAAATATTCCGCACAAAAAGAAGTAGCTAGTTAGCAAGCGGCAAGTTCAAACTAGACCGACATTTAATGCCACAGTGACGGGACGCAAGATTCGACCGTATCGTCTCGTATAGTGTGTCATAGTGGGCGACAACCTACGTCGCGTCTGCGATGCTTCACGACATCATGACAAAAGCGCCCCCGAATGGACAGAGACCCGTTACTGCAGCCAGCCAGTCCAGAACCCGGAAGTAACCAGCCAGTGCTAATTCTCTTCAATTAGACATTCTCTGGTTTTACCGGACAAAATAACGCTGGATGGCGCGGTTGACCAATCAGAAACATGTATTCCACAGACCCGTGTAATAATAAACATTTAAAAACTGACATGTTTGGGAAGCCAAGCACTCAGTTTGATGCCAAGGACAAAAGAACTGATGCAACTTTTAGACACAGACTGAGTGTTTATTACATGTAAAAATCACACATTTATGTAAATGATTTTGGGCAACTGCATTCATTCAAAAAGGAGCAAAAGGAACTGGAATGTATTGGCATATCTGTAGGCAATTATAGGTTTGACCGAAAGTGATACTGTACGACTCTTTATAAAACAGGGTGTATTTTCTCTTTGAGATTACTTTTATACCATTTCAGCCTGAACTGTGCCAGGCCACCCACACAGTTCGCTGGCTGACATTTAGCAAAAATTCGACATTCCTCTTCTCTTGGTATGTAAAAGTATGCGTCAACTTATCTAGATCATATTTCAATGAATTATTTATGCGATGAGATAAACATTTTAGTGACTGTTATGTCGATATAATGTTTTTGGTGATAATGAAATCAATAGAGACATCTACTTTCCGGTCGGTTTACCCTGCACTTTTGATGCCTTGCAATTTTGGGACCCTTCAGAACCATTTGACCCAACAGATCCATCCATCCATCCAAAATGAAGTATTTTTGTAGTTAAGAAACCGAAATCTACTTTGCCTTCTGTGTGTCGTTGAGCATTTTTGTTACAAGTATTGGACATCTTTATTTTGCCCAGCCTTTAAGAAACAATCAAAGCTTTTATCGATAAATCTTTCGTCACATATGATATTGCATGATTTTGCATTATTCTGCTAGCAGTTTAACATTAAAAGCAGTGTATTCTTGACAGTTTTTTTCTCTCAGATGAACACATCTCTCCACAACTGAGACTGTAAGTTTTTGTCTGTCCTTCAAAGAAGCAGAACGTGTGTGTTTTTCGTGCAGCGTTTCGACCTTGAAGTTTTCCTCGCTTGTAGAGTATGGATCGCAGACAAGAGCTCTCCGTCAGATCGGCAGACAGAGGTGTAGCCTCTTACTGTCTGTATCGATCCGTCTTTGTGCGCTGCCGTGGATCTATAACACGTTTCAATCACAGCTGGGCCACGATCTTCACACGCAGCAGGCTGAGGGCCGACACACACAACACACCAGCTGAGAGGTTCAGAGAACGCGCTGCAGCAAAAAAATAAAGCATTGATTGTTACTTTTCTTAAGTGCTGCACAAAATAAAGATGTCAAACAATCGTAATTGAAATTAAATCGTTTTTTTTTTTCTTCACTGAAATAACAGACTATTAAATTGTTACTTTTGAAATTCATCTACTGCTTATTTCAACTTCGGACTGTTTTAAATTCTCCTTGGCCCAGATAGATAGATAGATGGATAGATGGATAGATAGATAGATAGATAGATAGATAGATAGATAGATAGATAGATAGATAGATAGATAGATAGATAGATAGATAGATAGATAGATAGACAGACAGACAGACAGACAGACAGACAGACAGACAGACAGACAGATAGATAGATAGATAGATAGATAGATAGATAGATAGATAGATGACAGACAGATAGATAGATAGATAGATAGATAGATAGATAGATAGATAGATAGATTGACAGATAGATAGATAGATAGATAGATAGATAGATAGATAGATAGATAGATAGATAGATAGATAGATGACAGA